TCCTCTCTCTCTCTCTCTCTCTCTCTCTCTCTCTCTCTCTCTTCTCTCTCTCTCTCTCTCTCTCTCTCTCTCTCTCTCTCTCTCTCTCTCTCTCTCTCTCTCTCTCTCTCTCTCTCTCTCTCTCTCTCTCTCTGGTCCAGTAACAGTGACTCCGTGTCATGGACACGCACAGATTACTACGTACACAGTATTCCGAATGACCGCGAGCAAAGGCAATGAGGGTTCTATAGACTTGGCAAGCCGCGCTGAGCATGCAATATGGAGGGTACTGGCAATGAAAGGAACTGGCTCAGCGGGGGTCAAGATATACGAGGTACTGGTAGGTTAATCATGAGCTATGATGAAGTCGCCAAGCACCCCATATCCTTGACTTGAAATCGCTTTTACTCTTCGCGAAGGCTTTGGATCAGGTCCGCGTTAAAAATAGATTCAGGAATACATGTACATGTAGTAGGATTGGTGTAAGTTTTAATTTAGAAACAGTTCATACATGTGCTTCGAAGTAGCAGTACAAAAAGTAGCTAGAATTATGATTGTAGAGACGTTACACTGAAAGTGGTACACTGTACAGATACTAACTACTGACTACTGTACCTGTTTTGACACATGTTGTAGAACAACTAGTTACAATTTGCAATGGTCAAGTAACGTTAGTTGGCAGTTGGGCCCTGGCTGTGTGCACGCGCGCGCGCGCGCGTGTGTGTACATTATAATTATGTGTGTATAATTACGTGGTTGCGTGTGCATGTGTGTCTGTGTGCGCGTGTGTGTTGGTGCCTGTGCGTACTGCTCCAAAGACAATGAGTGAAAAGAAGGTTGTTCGTCTTGCAGATCAGAGTAATGGCCACACCGCCATGAGACTGATAACTATAACTATAACTACGGGAGGTCAACTTGAATTTACAAAAAAAGGAGACAACCCCAAGAGACGGTTGGAAGCATGGTCTCTGGGGAAAGTGGATAAAATGTTTTGAAGATCTTCAACCGGTGTAAGAATGGTATGTCAAAGACGAGGAGTTAGCACTTCTCCTCTTCCAACGACATTACGGAGGAGAAATGTCTGTAGAGTCCAACAGCCAGCGTCAAACCCACTGGTGCCAGCGCAAGTCGCGGAACAACGCCATTCAAGAAGCGGTGCTTTTCCGCAAGCATGCTTGTGAAGACGGCCTGAAGCCGCGCTGCTTCTCCAGTTCGCTGGCGTTCCTTCTGCAGCTCTCGGGCTAGAGAATCGAATGGATGTGTCACAAATGTCACTGGAACCTGAGCACAATATACTCCTGCGTTTTCGTACCATTTGTCGCTGTGAGGGCCGAGTGATGAACACGAGCGAAGAAGCCTGCTGAAGAGTGGTCCCAAGACGTGCATGCTAGTGAGAAAGCCACTTTCTCGCACGAACATTGGCCAGAATCCGGTCAGGAGCGCTGGTCCGAGATTGCGGGCGACCTGGAGTGCAGGTAAACCTAACCTCTGCTTGTATAACATCATGTGATCAGCTGCGGTAAGGAACAGTGCTCCATTAAGCGCTCCAGCTATAATACCCGCTTCTGTGCCACAGTAACGCTTTGTTCTGTCGCAGATGCTGAACTCAATGGCACACACTCCGGCGAAGATCAAGCCAAAGCGAGGCACAAAACTGGCTCCATTTCGTCTTATGGAGTTATCACGAAGCAGCGAGCTGAGGGTAGAATTGTCAACACTCTGTTTCTGAACTTTCAGGAACTCTGGAAAGCCAACGACTACGCCGGTAAGTCCGCCAGCTCCAGCACCAGCCACTGCGTCCCGTAGTAAGGTCTTGAAGAAGACCGTTGGTGTTTCGTCACGCCTTTTACTAATCTGCGACATGTTGCTTGAGTTAAACGAGACCCTGCCAAGGTTTGAGATCCTCCACAGGATAGGGTTGGCGTTGATTTGAACGTCAGCCGCGCTCTCAACTTAAAAATGAACAGGATTAAGGGACGTTCTGAGACTAAAGAAATAGCGACTTCCACTCGTCTTTTATCACCAATGGAAGGTTCTGTATGCAGCATTGCTGCCCGGCTAGTTGTCAATGCATTTGGAAGACAGTATTGGCGTGTCTGCCAATTGGAAGCATCCTGATATACCCCTTCCGGGGACTTTCCCCTGTTGAACACATCGCTACTTCCTAGCCTACTGACATGGACCCCGTCTGGCAACGTGAAAATTATGAAATTGGCAGTGGTGACGCCAATGGTGCTTGTGGTACATCGCCGGCCCGGGGACACATCGGTCATATTATCTGACATGACTAAGCCGCGGCTAGGGAGAATACTGAGTCTGTTAATACTGGTATGCACTAATCTGTGAACACAACACGTGTTAACAAGTTCTGAACAGGAACACTGGGAACAATGCGAACAGGAACACGATGGACATAGAGAGCAGAGTACGCGTTGCATGTATGCATACTCCCACAGCGAGCTATTGCACTTTCAGCACATTTCAAATCCTGGTATGGATGCAAGCTGCTGTATGCGGTCATAAGTAATAAGGAATGGAATGGTAAACCCAGGAATTCCCTCCAAATGTGTCAGGCATGCACACTACACGTCCAGACAGCGTCCAATCAGCTGCGATCTGGGCGTGAGGTTGTTGTTGTTGTTGAGTCGAGTAGATGCTCCGCCAAGTGACGCAAGTCGGTGATCCTAGAACGTCAGTTACTGTAAAAGCCATTATTGCTCAGCGGTTTTCATGACCCTTGATCGTGGGATTTAGCTGAATACATACATGCATACATGTACAGCTGTTGGCATCACGTTACTCTATCATTCGTATCAACCTGTTACTGCAATACTGGTACAGTCAGTCTGGACACGAACTTGTGACGAAGCACATCACCTGATGCTCGAGATCTGACACTGCAATGCTGTGGTGACACAGTTCTGAGGTGGCCGCCTGTAATGAATGCGTGCGCATGCCACGCCAAGCATATCACGGATATGATCGCCAACGCACAGCGTGCAACCACTCCTTGCACTTGTCCCCAGAGGATCCGGGCGCCTATTCGATACGCTACGATATAGACCTCGGTATAGCCTATAGGGACCGCTCCTGATTTGTGGTGATATTTCAGCCAGCGCACCCCTTCCAGTGTGGCATTGGCGCTGCAACAGAGCTGAAGCAAGGTTCAGCTCTGCGTCTGCGAGTCTTCCTCGCACCAACAACAGTGCTACTGACACTGTGTGTTGTAAGATCGTGTTTAGGGTTTCTCTCCCCAGAAGTCATACATCCATTACGGGCACACGGTCAAGCTGTGAACTGCCAAGACATGGCTGTAAGCACATTACCAAAATCAGACAATACTGTCTGTCCACTCACTGTCGCACAACATTCTCCTTGAGCTAGGTTTGCTGACAACATCGTTCTCGATTGCTATCTTATCTGCAGACTGAGAAGAAGAAACCGGAAAGTTTCGGGAAACGAAACGCTTTGCTTGATATTGAGTTTGAGGCACAGCGCAAGTGGGAGGACGAGCGTTTGTTCCAGGTGGATGCTCCTCAGGTAAGTACATGTGATTATTATAATATGTATGGCACTCATGAGTCCCATGAAGAGATAGATAGCATGGTTAACGACGAAAAGTGTTACGTTGACTATGAAGGATTAGCATGAGCTCCCGCTGCCGATGGTTTGTGGTCACGGTTATTGTAAAAGCCCATATTTAAATGGACTCGGATGGAGAGCCAAGGAGTCATGTTATCGCATGAGTTGATTGTTTAGTAACTGGTGGTGTTAGTGGACATTATAGCGTAACTTGCAGTTCCTTGGTCCTTTTTCTTTCCATAATTATTTAATTGTTCGCTCCAATCAGCGTTGTGTTCTTCATGTACAATGACAGGAACGTAAGATTAAGATTGCTGGTGCATGCAAGGGGAAATCTGGAAGCAATTTATTCATCAGTTTGAGGTGAAAATGAGAAAGTCATGAAGAAAACTATTAGTTGACTACCACCTGGACTCGAACCGGGGACGTTCGCTGTAGTCCAGCGAAGCTGTAGTCCCAAGCTTACATGTACATGCATGCTGTAGTCGTCAGAGGCCGCTCAACATTCTCTTTGGACTTCGACACTCACACCTCCTGTAGAACTACGCGGGCTGGTGGGAAGTAGCCCTCGCAATAATAATATTATTACTGGTATGCTATGACTATGAGTGATCACGGCAGAAAGTTGTAATTATTGGAAGACCCTGGCATTACATACTCCCTGCATGGCGTCCAGACTCGTTCCCTCCCTTGCGTCTGATCCAGGCGCCGAAAACAGTCCACCGGTAGATTACACTGCGGTATTATCATGATTATTGTTTAGTCATGTACGAGCACAGTGCATATCTGTACCTGTATCTGCACCTGAAACCATGGCATTCCCCGTACTTTTACTGAACAAAACTTCGGACTGTCAAACGGCAGCCTACATTAGGCTACAAATACAATGACTCCACCATGTACCAGTACAATACCGCTCTACAACACACGTACAGTGTCTACACAAAGTCATTGTATCTACGATTACGAGTACGAGTACCAGAACAGTGGCAGTGGTCTCTGCCTCTGGTCAAAACTCCTCAGACAAAAGTCAACTCCTGAACTGAAATACTTTTCGTGAAGACAGACATGTCACTACTGCACCGCAGATGCATCGCATGACTCATATTAAACTGACATCATACATAGCCTATGATTAGGCCCACACATGCACCGGATCCGCGGATCCGCTCCTGTCTTTCGGGTCAAGTACGAGTACTCCTGCTGACGTGGTTGTAGTTTTATCGAAACTTTCGAAGTTTCGTCGTCTCTGCACTCTCGGCTTGATGCATGCTGGAACCTGAAACAAACAGAATTCATCAACAACCATTCGTATTCGCTACTGCGCGCTGAAGCAGATATTTCCGTTCCCTGAACTTGCTGAAGCCGAGTGAAGGAGGTGACAGTTTAGTTTAGTCCTAGGGCTAGGTGGTGTTACTAATAATTATTAGTGTTAGCATAATCACCCCGTGACCTGTGTGCAGTGGCTGTGATCAGATAAAGCTGCTGCTTAGCAGCTACAAAGATGTAGATCTTCAGAGGATCTAGCCTAGGACTAGGAGTACAGTTCGAACCTTGCTGCAGGACAAATGCTAGCAGTCATCCTCGGCAACATTATGGCAATTGCGACATCTTGCTACTGCGACTTCCATGCTAGTATTACTACAATGCGGGGAGTCTAGTAATTCAGTTGATCCGTTATTGGTTATCGTCCACATGACATGGCATGGAATCGGGAGGCTCCGTCTCTGCGGTGCTGAGCACACGACACACTGTTTATAAGGCTAGTCAGTTAGTGTGCGGAGCCATGATTGTGAATATGATTGGTTGGACGATCGGTAAGCCGTGCAGGCGTAGATCTACAGTGCTGGCAACTGAAATCCGACCCCCTGAGCGGTGGGTTCACATTCTTTGCGATGTGAGCGCACCGCTCAGAGGTCGGATTTCGGTCGCCAGCACTGTATGACTGTACTGTCTGTACTGTAAATGCGGTGTGTCGAGTCTACACGCTGAGTCAGCGTACTGCTACCTCATGACTCTGTGACATTCTTTTATGTCTTTCCTTGTGCTTTGCATCATATTCATGGATTGTGCAATGGTTTATAATGACATGCAGGCTGACAGCACGGAAGACGAGTAAGTCTGCCCCCCCCCCCTTTCCCCTCATACTAGTCATGAGCGCTTTCACTGTACTATCATCTACGTGTAAGTTTTCCGAAATGGTTGTTTAATTTAAAACTTCTCTTCATTTCTAGGTGATCAACTATTACTTGGCATGATATGGACACAAGTAGAAGATGACAAGTGTTCAAAAACATTAAGGATCACCATGCTCTTCGCCCCTACAACAGATGCTTGTATCATGAGTGTAAAATTTGAGTTACCACTCATCTGTGTGGTCCACTTTGCCCTTATATGAACACAAAGACTTTTTATATTCACTTGTAACTATTTTTATTCTTTTTTTATTCCAAGCAATACATGGTTGGGGTAGCCAATGACCACTTTGCGTGGCGATTGCAGGGTTTTATAGCCAACCACGGCCAGCCGGCTACAGTTATGTAACGGCGGCCGCAGCGGAAGAATCACGGTAACAATAGCTGGAAAATGGTGGCTATAGCCGCGGAACCGGAATGGTGTTCATGGCTGTGTACGCATACTGGTGGCGATAGCCGCGGGACCGGAATGGTGTTCCTAGCTGTGTACGCGTATTGGTGGCCATAGCTGCGCTCTGTGCCGTCGTGTTTCACACTGCAACAGTTCTGCAGATCGGCTGGTGTAAATCTCCACTTGTCACGCTCTGCATGTTTTGTACTGTGTTTGTGTGCAGGCAAGAGAAGTACTTTGCTACTTTCCCATATCCGTACATGAATGGATGCCTCCACCTTGGACACACATTCTGCATATCCAAGGTAATCCACTGTCATATGTTTTAGCTTGAACTTATTCTGAACTTTCAAAAACTCAGGCTCTTCACAAGAAATGATGTTTCTGCAAGTCAGTAGAGGTACTTGTGTAATGTTTTCTTATCACGCAGAACACAATGAAATGAAACTACACGAGAACAATAGATTCAAAGCAGAAGAGAGGTGCTATGATCATCGGACCCAAACTTTTCTGATTTTTATCGTTACTAAGTTTTGTGCCGCTATTTATGCTGGGCTACTACACGATGTGTATACTTATCATCCGTGAAATATAAATCAATCAATGCATATAAAAAGGTGGCGATCGCACTCTGAAGGGTGGCGCATTCTTTCTGAAAGGGGGCAGTCCGTGGCAAAAAGTGAAGAAGGGCGCAGCGCCTCGCTATGTCGCTTTGGCGAAACCCTGATCTATACTAATGGGTCGGGTTGCTCTCCATCAATGGGATGCATGGTAATAATTATTAGAAGACTGAAGCCAACTCCATGGTGTGTGTGTGTGTTCTTCTGTCTGATTGTACGCTGACCACCGATGCACAACTCTGGATGGGCTACCCGCACAGGCTGAGGTATGTTCATCTCCGTGTGTACATTTGATTTGGTAAATCTTAGATCAACGAGAATTTCTGGTGTATCACTATGCCGCATGATTCATCCAACCATTCAGTATGAATAGCTTTGCAAGAACATACCAGTACAACATGCTATTTCGAAGTTGTTATTCGAATTGTGCTGCCTTTGATTAGCAAAATTTATACTTGCACATGATGGGCCGGTATTTGCTGACAAGATAGCTCCGGGCACACAGTCAACCATAGTTTTAACTTTTTTTAACTATATCAATGGAGATAGCATTTGCCAGTCTATAGTGGTACAACACAATGCATGAATTTATGGATTGCTTCAACATCGTGATCAATGCCCGGTCTTACGCTGTTTGTTTTCCTGTTTGGCATGCTGTGGTCATGTCGGTCTCTGTGATCTTCCCTGCGCCCTGGCAAGTTTGCTGTTGGCTACCAACGCCTGAAGGGCAAGAAATGTCTGTTTCCGTTCGGCTTCCACTGTACTGGCATGCCCATACCGGTGAGTCACTAAGTTATGACTACTGAAGTACCTGAATGTGTATGGAATATGGTTATGATGATGGAGTTTTAAAAGCAAGAAACTCAGAGTTGAGACGAATTCCGCTGGACCTTGTCTGTGTGTACGTGCAGGGTGTGTGTGTGTGTGTGTGTGTGTGTGTGTGTGTGTGTGTGTGTGTGTGTGTGTGTTAGTGTGCATGTATGTATGTCTGCTAATGGTCACACACGTCTTTCTTCTCTTTCTCAGACTCTTCCTGACTTTTCTTTCATTCTCCTGGGTGGTTACCAACAGCCAGTACATGCCGGAATATGTGATGTGATGTGTGTGCGGGAAAAAAAAAAGAAAAAGACCAAAAATAGGGATTCACTGACCAGAAAAAAAGTCACTTCAAAATAGCTGTATGGTGTAGACCAGGCTGAATAGTGACGGTCAATTCTTCAGCCTTGCAAGCTGTTGAATGGTGCAATCCCAGCACAAGTTGCTATGGCTTCTGCCGTAGCATTGCTATCATCGCCTCCGGCGATGGGCGTCAAAGGTCAAAGGTGTGCTAATGTTAGTTAGGTCATTATGCTCATCAGCAGCCTACTACAGATTAAATATCACTTCTATTCATGTACCTACAGCATCTACGAAATTGTGCGCTCATTCCACCCAGAATATTTGGCACATATTTTGATTACTATGGCGTTTGGGGATGACTGGTTGATATACTTTTCCAATTAACATTGGACTCGGATGATTTCTTCTTTCTTCTTTCGCTGCTGGTATCATGACTACGCCATAGCTTAGTGGTAGCGTGTCACTGGCCATGAGCGATGGTCCCTGGTTTGAGTCCTGGAGGTGGTAGTCTTGTTTCCTACTGACGTTTGCCATTCTAACTCCCTCAACCTTATTAAGAGAGCATGTCTGAGAATACCAAAGTATGTGTGCAAGTGGATCTCTCCAATTTCGCTCAAAATTTGCAGGTAGGTTCCCTTTGGGGTGTGGATCGATTGTGCAAAGCCCTTGAAAAAGTTTCTGAGGGGAACCTTGAAATTTGGATACCCCTCAGAAATGGCCGAAATATCACATTATTTATGGGTCTAGAAACGAGTCACGCCACAGCGTATACGAACAAGCTATGAACAAAACTCCATCAAGCCAACATTGCCTCACCTTAGAAGAGTTCCTGGAGCAGTACCGCTTAGCCTCGCCAGGATCCCAGAAGACGAGGTCCATCACCCCCTGACGCCACAAATGATCGTCTTAAAAATAGCCAATTTACAAGCGCTGGAAAAACAGCCAGCTACGTCCTCAATTGGCCAGAACTATACACCGGCAGATAGTAGAACACCTCTTCTAGCGCTGAGGACATGTCCCCCATCTTCCTTTTGGGGTTTTCTTGAAATAAACTTTTTTGAATTTTTCCACTCGACCATGCTGAAATACGGCCAAAGTCATACCTGCGCAGGAAAGCTCGCCCCTCCGCGACGTCTCCTCAGCAATTTCTACTCCAACACTACTCCCAAGGCCGCAGAACAAACTGTATTGTTTGCTCTGACAAGGAAAAGCAGCGATGATCACTTGTCACTCCAAACGACAAGCTTCTCCTTGCGCCACCAATAATTTTTTGTGCGACTGTTGATGCAAAAGTGACTGAAGGCATGAGCGCAATTCTTGAATTTTACTACAAGAGGCACGGTGAAATCACGTGCCTTGTGACGCAAGGATGCCAAGTCGCGTGGATCACGGCTCACGAGATTTCAGAGTCACCTTCGTCAAGTGCGCTTGTTACTCGCCTTGAACGCCCGTTGGTCTGGAAGTGATCACACTTGTGTAGTTACTGCGCTCAAGAACACGCTGACCGTGTTGTAGGCCTAGGAACCGGGACTTTCCCTGACCACGTAGGTCGAAGACCAGTGAAATGATGATGAAAATCACATTCATTCTGACGTAAGAAATCTCTCATGCAGTTCACGCGACAAGTTCGTGGAGCCAGTGCTGCTCGCGTGCCAGTCAACACAAAGCGACCGCGCTAGCAGCTTTTGTCGAGCATCGACATGAAAACAAAGGACTTTTACTGTTGGACTATGTTCGGGATTGCAGGAGGTAAGTGTGAAAGATGAATAACTCTCCATGCTGTAATGGGGGCATATTTCAACGGCTTGCTGCCATTGCAACACTCCAAGGACAGATTGCGAGGGTTCTCAGTAGATCAAGCAGGAAATACAGCTAATCTTACCTCTGCCATCATGGTCTGTTCCGAGTAGCGTTCCAGTCACGTTCGCGATCGATGGCCGCGTGTCGTGATCCAGGAAGCGTCATCCTACGTCACAGAGCACGCGATCTCACCGTGCATGTTGCAATAAAATTCAAAAACTGCGCTCAGGACTACAGTCACTTTTGCATCAACAGTCGCACAAAAAAATATTGGTGGCGCAAGGAGAAGCTTGTCGTTTGGAGTGACAAGTGATCACCGCTGCTTTTCCTTGTCAGAGCCAACATAACACTTTGTTCTGCGGCCATGGGAGTAGTGTTGGAGTAGAAATTGCTGAGGAGACGTCGCGGAGGGGCGAGCTTTCCTGCGCAGGTATGACTTTGGCCGTATTTCAGCATGGTCGAGTGGAAAAATTCAAAAAAGTTTATTTCAAGAAAACCCCAAAAGGAAGATGGGGGACATGTCCTCAGCGCTAGAAGAGGTGTTCTACTATCTGCCGGTGTATAGTTCAGGCCAATTGAGGACGTAGCTGGCTGTTTTGCCAGCGCTTGTAAATTGGCAATTTTCAAGACGATCATTTGTGGCGTCAGGGGGTGATGGACCTCGTCTTCTGGGATCCTGGCGTGGCTAAGCGGTACTGCTCCAGGAACTCTTCTAAGGTGAGGCAAGGTTGGCTTGATGGAGTTTTGTTCATAGCTTGTTCGTATACGCTGTGGCGTGACTCGTTTCTAGACCCATAAATAATGTGTTATTTCGGCCATTTCTGAGGGGTATCCAAATTTCAAGGTTCTCCTCAGAAACTTTTTCAAGGGCTTTGCACAATCGATCCACACCCCAAAGGGAACCTACCTGCAAATTTTGAGCGAAATCGGAGAGATCCACTTGCACACATACTTTGGTATTCTCAGACATGCTCTCTTAATGATTTCTTCCTTGCCATTATGTGATAGGCATGCGCCGACAAGCTGAAAAGAGAAATGGATGAGTATGGCTATCCACCCAACTTTCAAACTGCAGCAGACGAGGCCTCCACTGGCACTGAATCGCAGCCTGCTGATGACGTTGTTGAGCCACAGTACACAGAAGAACCCAAGAAGTATGTCAAGAAGGTGAGACATTATGGAACTTTACTCCTACTGTGGCGATTGTAGGTGTTGTTGCATTCCAAAGGTCTGTATTGAAGGTCCAATACCTCTAATGCAGATATTCTAGATTGAGATATACTGGACAGTAGAGGTGACGGTTCGATACCGGAACGGCTTGACAGCCAAATTTGTATAGACCCAAACCGATCATCAGCGTTGATTGTTCACTCGAAATATGTTTGTGGAAGGAAACTGGCATGTTGAAGTTTGCTCTGAGGCCAGAGTCAATCGAACTGAGCCACTCCTTTGTGTTGACCCATTGCCTCCAAGTTGCCCAATTTTTCGCTTCAAATCAGAGGTGGCTCCAAACCGGACAGGTTTTAGAGTGCACATCAAATTCACTCTGGGTCTGAAATTAGGTAATTGCTATCGCTCCACGGGGGCCAGTATAGAGTAACAATAAGCCTTGTGTGTGCTTCCATTAGTTTTGATTGGTATGCGGTACTTTATTTGCGAGAGGCGAGCCGCTGTTTACCTGCGACAAGAAGTTGATTTTTCGAAAGTCGTAAAACTCAAGTCGCAGTGCGAAGCAACACGTCAAAAACTCACCTGCTTGGTATGGCGCTTCTGGTCATCGCATAGCCATGAAATTTTGGCTCGGAGTATAACACATCGTAGTCGCACTGTGCTATATTATGTTTTCTAATCAAAATACCAAGAGAGAAAGTGAATATTGAGTCCGTTCCGGTTTGCAACCTATGTCCTATTTGAAACCGTCGCCTCTACAGGGGAAGAAATATTATACAGGCCAGCCGCTCTGTATCTGGTTCGAGGACGTGGCAGTGCAGCAAGAGTATTTTCCATTCAGCATTTGTCAGCAGACTGAAAATCCATTCCAAGTTTTGCTTTTCACATGTGTTGAGATAAGAAGACTTTATTCAGTAGCTGTTACAGTTGTGGGCATGGCAGTATGTTCATGGGTTGGCCATATCCAGTCCTCGTTGGGAAGTCAAAATTCCTATCAGAGGCGGCGCACACGGTACGGTCACTACGGTATTGACCGTACCACTTTTGTCCCAGATACCCCGTGAATCAATAAAATACGCTGATCTGGGATGTAAATTTCCAAAATTTTCGGCTCAGTCACCACCCCCCTACGGGTAAATAATAATTGTACTTCAGATGGGTGACCGTACTACATTAAAATACCTTCCGACGCCCCTGCCTATCTTTTCCATTACTTTTTATGTTGCATGAATTAGTAGGCAGCTATGTACCCACGCAAGTGTCCTTACTCTGCTGATGAACATAATATACTCGTACGGATGTGTGTCTCCAAATGGTGTTATGTGTGTGTGTGTGTGTGTGTGTGTGTGTGTGTGTGTGTGTGTGTGTGTGTGTGTGTGTGTGTGTGCATGTGTGTGTGCATGTGTAGCCCAAGTCCAAGGTGCAAGCCAAGTCAGGTGTCTGCAAGTTCCAGTGGGAGATCATGCGATCCCTGGGTCTCAGTGATGAGGAAATCAAGAAGTATGTACAAGGAACTTGGCTTGTATGCGTTATTTGCCGCTAGTTGATGAATACAACTCACAGTCAAAGCTGGCCAATCACTTACCTGAATAAGGCAGTCATTTTAGATGGATTGTGATTTGAAAAAAGCGCAGGATGGATCACTAGAGAGCAAGAATATAGACCGTCAAAGTTTACCTCTCTGCACTGCACATGTCCTGGCTCTTTCCTGGTTGTCCTGTTCAGATTCGTGGATGCCAAACATTGGCTAAGGTACTTTCCCCCGGTTGCAAAGAGTGACCTGAAGAGCATGGGGATCAAGGTCGACTGGAGACGATCATTCATCACAACCGATGAAAACCCCTACTATGACACGTTTGTCAAGTGGCACTTCCTGCGCTTGAAGGACCGTGGCAAACTGGAGTACGGGGATCGGTAAGAGGGAGCCCCACCGGCCATGTTTGATCGTGTACTTCTGGTTGCAGTGATACTTGCTATACACACTGTAAGCCTACAAATTTTGGCCTACCAGGGGTAATACCCATTTCGGCCTACCAGGGGTAATACCCATTTCGGCCTACCAGGGGTAATACCCATTTCGGCCTACCAGGGGTAATACCCATTTCGGCCTACCAGGGGTAATACCCATTTCGGCCTACCAGGGGTTATACCCACTTCGGCCTACCAGGGGTAATACCCACTTCGGCCTACCAGGGGTAATACCCATTTCGGCCTACCAGGGGTAATACCCATTTCGGCCTACCAGGGGTAATACCCATTTCGGCCTACCAGGGGTAATACCCATTTCGGCCTACCAGGGGTAATACCCATTTCGGCCTACCAGGGGTAATACCCATTTCGGCCTACCAGGGGTAATACCCATTTCGGCCTACCAGGGGTAATACCCATTTAGGCCTACCAGGGGTAATACCCATTTCGGCCTGTACTGCTGCCGCCTGTGTACACTGTCACACTGAACCTTGCAAAACAAAGTTTCGGCCGCAACAATTTTCGGCCAAACATGACCAGGCCGAAAAGAGCCGAATATAAATATGCGCCGAATACTTGTTGACTTGCAGTACTGTATCTGGCGGTCGTTTGTTTCCGCTGCAGCTACACCATTTACTCACCTCGAGATGGTCAGCCATGTATGGACCATGACCGCGCCAGTGGAGAAGTAAGACCAGACTTGACGTCGTCATGGAAATTAATTATCCCTTGAGCGTATATCCCAGCATGGTTGCTGTAATGCCAAGTCTCAGCCCGCTTACGTATGAACGAAATATGGCTACCAGTCCTTTTTTGTATTGGGGAACCCCTGCACTAGTCATTGTGCCAATATACAAGCCTAAACCGCTTGGTATCTTCAACAGCACATTTTTAGGAATTTGGTTATGAATACCCGAAGAATATGGGACTCAGGTCCGCACCTACTAGTCGATATCGGCTCTCTGAAATTCCTAGTAAGACCAAGCCTATTAAGCAAACATATCTGTGACATGTGTAATAGCAGAATGTTTCATGGTGCTGTATCCTGTGCAGGGTGTCGATGGCCAGGAATACACGCTGATCAAGATGAAGGTGCAAGAGCCACTCCCAGAGAAACTGGCGTGAGTTGAGGCTGCCCTGCTCCTACTTCTAGCCTCAGTGTCATAGTCAGCTAAGGACAAGGATGACAGTACTGTCACCCAGGCAGTCTCATGCCTCCATTTTGTAAATAGTGTTGCACAGTACTAGAGTACAAGAGTTTGGTAGTAACTGGTGTTGTGTACATGTCCACCATATGTAGAGACTGTTGATATGGTGACACCAGCAGAAGGAACGAAAATCCTCAGAGCTCAACAATTTTGAAACCTGCTCCATTGGGGGTCTCTATAGCCTTGTGTGGATGTGTTTCTCGATCCTCAGGTTTGCCGGTCAGAAGCCTGTTTTCCTTGTTGCTGCTACCCTGCGTCCTGAGACAATGTACGGGCAGACGAACTGCTGGATGCATCCTAACATCAAGGTACTGCGAATGTCGTCAATACGCACATTATCAATTCTCCATATCTCATGGAGTTGTTTAACTATTATAATGAATGACAACGAATGTCAATGAATAGCTCCGTAGAGTGGGATTGTTTATCGAGGAGCACTTAAAATTTCCACTTTCCGTTATTTCTTATGTGTAGTATGTTGCCTTTGAGAATGCCGATGGTGAGATCTTCGTGAGCACGCATCGCGCTGGACGCAACATGGCCTACCAGAAGATCTTATCGAGGGAGGCAGCTGAGTTCGGAAAACTGGACATCTTGGCAGAAATCGAGGGCAAGGTGAGGTAGCAAGAAATATTGTATAAACGTGCTGGTAAATTGGCTAGTGATGTTTCAACTCCCTCAACTAATGGTTGCCAGGTCTTTCTTCCCACATTTCACATACTTGGAGCATGAAGAACTTGCTGACATGGTGAATACTGTTTGGGATGAACATTCTGCAATGACACCACTCCATTCGGTGAGACTTCACCAGCAGTATTATGTGCCTAATGCATGTTGGACATTACATTAATGGAGATATGTCAGGGATAAACAATGCACAACTCCTTTTTCTCTACTCATAACCCAGACAATTCAGGTGTGTGCGTGAAGTACTCTAACAAGAGTCTAACATGCCTACAGTACTGCCCGGGAGCGGAGGAACAAACAGGCTTGGATTTCACAAAGTACACTATGCCTCAGTGTAGATACATGGTACACTATGGCTCAGTGTAGATACATGGTGTGTCAACTACACAGACCTAGGCTATAACGCTGATCCCTCCTCACACACACGCACGCACACATGCACGCACACGCACACACACACACGCACACACACACACACACACACACACACACACACACACACACACACACACCGTTCTTCGGCGACAGACAGAACTGTGGGGCATGGCATCTCGTGCATGCTCGTATGGTGTTCGAATGCATACAATTTTCTTATTCGATTCTTCTGGCATAGGATTTGCTAGGTGTGAAGCTGTCTGCACCGAGGACTAAGTACGGGACGGTGTACACACTGCCCATGATGACCATCAAGGAAAACAAGGGTAAGACGCATTGATAGTGCTAAATACATTTCATTACTAATGATCACTGGATTCATGAAGGGGTTTAGAGACCAGCATTGCAGGATGCGATTGCGACAAATAGCAATCCTGGAGATGAACTGACCAGAAGTAATCATGAAAACATGAAAGTTTGGTTGCTCCCCTGTCCTACACACTCGCTGAATGGTCCAAGTTCATCTATTCTGTGGATACGTTTGTGGGCCGTTAGAGTATAATCAAATGCCTCGATCCCTTTCAACATGGCTGGAATAATGCCGTGTAAATGCACTGTATTTGTTCAGCAGCCTACAAGCGCTCGACTGTCCACAAATTCCCCCATCGCCTACCACATTCCATTCCATGCTGCATGTCCCTCTGCATTGCATGGCCACTGACGCAGCTCTGATGTCCCTGCCCTTCACTCTCTTCTCTTACACAACTGTCTAATCGTCTGCACAGGCACTGGCGTGGTGACATCTGTACGTGTTGTGTGTGTGTGTGTAATCGTCTGCACAGGCACTGGCGTGGTGACATCTGTACCGTCTGACTCACCTGATGACTATGCCGCTCTACGAGATCTGAAGAGGAAGGAGGTTAGTGCCTACAGTATAACCTGTTGTAAGCAACCTCTGGGTTTAGTGACCACCTGCTCTTAACCACCTTTTTTCCATGCACCGACAGTTTACACAGACATTGTGGGACCTGGTTCTAAAGAACACCTGGCTTTATCGACCACTTTTGCTTGCACCGCGTGCTGATTGGAGCTTCTATTCTAAGGAGAATTTCTTTGTAGTTTCTTTTTACTTCGAAGTAAGTTGATTTCGGCTATACATGTTGGCATTATCTTGCTGTCTAGGGTCTTCGCCAAAAGTTTGGGATCACAGAAGAGATGGTGGACTTTGAGCCGGTGAGGATACTAGTTGGTTCCTTATTGACATAATATACTTAAGAGAAGCTAGAGAGGTGTGGTTGTAAGTCTTTCCATCTGCACTCTAATCTTGTTGCACTCAGTATGCACTGTTGAGCAACACAATCCTCATAGGATTTGAAAGTGCTATGTACAGGCCAGGCCAAAGTCATGACAATTCTGACCTTTGGATCCATTTCTATCCAGTTTTTTCTGTAGGTGCATACTTTGAAGTACAAGCATGTTTGAAGAAGTTAATTAACGTATGCACCAACCTGCTGCACAAGGGGTCAGCTGCCATTATCACCCACCCTATGTTATCCACAAATATCGAGAAGTGGATCTGCAAGTGGGCACTTTTATGACGACCCACCCGTTTTCTCGAGTTGTCATCACTGGAATACAGAATGATAATACAATTCAATGTCGTTACATTCAAGACCTGTTACGTATCCTATCTCACCATCCTATCGATGTTATCCCAATCTTCCTGTCAGATTCCCATCATTGACATTCCAGGCTTTGGCGAGCTGGCAGCAAAGACGGCTTGTGAAATGTTCAAGGTCAACAGCCAGAACGACACCAAGCAGCTGGCTGAAGCCAAGGAGAAGACCTATCAGAAAGGCTTCTATGAAGGTGTAAGTCAGGCAATGTTTCCCGGTGCGTTGTAGCTGTCCAAGCGTGACATTGATTGCCAGTCCTTTCTTTCTGTGAGCTTGCACTGATACTACACCCGCTGCTTCTTATCCGATCTGTTTTGCTAACAAGGTTATGGTGACTGGAGAGTGCAAAGGAATGAAGGTGCAGGATGCCAAGGAGATTCTCAAGAAGTCGCTGGTGAAGGAGGTGAGCATATTGCAGGTTTTGATTGTACATAGGGAATGTCTAACAAAACTTGAAAATTGATTTTGCATTACATGGCCTATGCAAGAGACCAAATTATTGTTTAGTCCTAAAACCATACAGAACAATGGACATACTGAAATACTTGTATTCATCCTGGCAGTAATCGTTGGCCATGCCTGATCATCACTGGTGGGCGGTCTTCTATTCTCTGCGACTCTTGCAGAATCAAGCCCTGGTCTACTATGAACCCGAGAGGCTGGTCGTGTCTCGCTCCGGGGAGGAATGTGTTGTGGCAAAGTGTGACCAATGGTGAGTCATGCTGCTTCAAGTTTGTCCTATGGTCGAGGTAGCCGGGCCATACAGTAGAGTAGTAGGTTCAGTGTGTGGAAAATACACTCAGGGGGTCACTTTGTCACAGTCTCCTTGTATTGCCCACAAAATTACTTCAATGTGTGTAAATGGGTTCACAGTACACTGCATGTATGGTTTACACATGGCAAGCACAGGACACAGGAGGGAGAGAAAACAGAAGTAAAGCATCTCATCACAGTGCTGTAGTATGTTGTAGCAAGTTTGAGCACAACTATCTAATGTACTTAAGCATATCAAGCTGAATACTATCCCTCTCTGCACTCACAGATAGTCCTCAGGGACGCACCGAGTTACACAGTTTGTTTTCTTGAGAGTCACTGAGCCAGGCTGATCATTCGCGCATCCCTAGGAACCCTAACACCCTCAGGGATCAATGCGCAAAGGGAGCCCAAAAAATGGTGGGAGGTGTGAAGATTACACACACTGCAAAGTGACCGAAGACCAAAAATCACTGTGCATTTCATCCATGTTGTGCTCATGCCAAATCCCGAGTTCCTAGTTTATTCTGGACTGCAGCATACATGTACCTAACCGGAGAGGCGTGAGTACAATACTGGCTCTGCAATGAGTGCATTGCCGCATGATGATTGCTATGATCCGTCCTGTAGGGTGCTGCAATATGGAGACGAGCAGTGGAAGCAACAAGCCAGGGATGTCTTGGCACAGCTTGAGACGTAAGTCACGGATACTCCATTCTTATTAGCCTTTACTGGAGGTGTGCTATGGACACTGTAATGACGCGCATGAAAGCACATGTGCCTATATCTGAGTACAAGCGCAGCCTCACATATACGCGCACTGGCCTATAAGTGAACTAAACTCCGCGATACACTGATGCCACTAAAATGCCATGTTTTAAGAAATTAATGTGCAATCACCATATTCCGTACTGGTAACACAATTACAAGCGCATGTAACTATTATGTGAGAAAGATCGACCCACAAAAATTGCATATTTTATGCGCATAAGTATGGCATATGAGCTGGAAATTTCAAAGAATCGAAATCACTTGAATGGGAAAGCAGATGTGGGGGAGAGATGTAAGATGGAAAGATTTTCTTTATCCTCCATTACTTGTTTAACATGCACCTAATGCCTATACTGCAAAAACCTAGACTGCTTGGCGTTGTTTCTTTTTGCCATTCAGATACTCTGAAGAGACAAGACATAACTTTGTCAAGACACTAGACTGGCTGCATGATCACGCATGCGCCAGGATCTATGGCATGGGTAAGTGTACATCAGTCGTCGTGGCCAGCATACACCCATGACTGTTCTCTTGATCACCTTATGTTGCTTGGTGTACCCCCCCCCCCCCCCCCTCTCGCTAGCTAGAGTAGAGTTTTGCTGCTGTAATTCCTAAGATTTGCACCATCAAGAGTGGAGTCAGGCCGGGTAAGGGCAAGGCTTGATTATACCGTAGGTTGTTCGATGTTTTTCACTTTCGTTTTTCGTTGTGTAACTGTTTGTCTTGTTGGCGTGGTTCACTGATTTGATGCCTTACATTTCGATTATGGCCACAGTTCCGAGCTATTTTCTTCCTTCCTAGATCAATCTCTGCAGTAAATGTGCAAATATTTTACGGAATTTCGGACTCTGTGGGATGTCATATAATTGCTGGTTATGATGCTGCTTATCTCTACTTACAAGCTATTGGCTAGTCAGGGCCGGCGCCACTGGTATGGCCATGGCCGTACCAAAAAAAAAAAAAAAGTCGGTCCACGTGTAATGTCCAAAACCGGGGAGAAAAAGTCTCGATGTATGATTTTGTACAGGGAGTCGCCCAGAGTGCAGGATTTGCCGTCTAAATTCCAATTTTTTTTCTGAGGGACGACCCCCAGACCCCCCCCCCCTTAAAGATGGCCCTTCAGCCGCTCCGCGGAAGCAGCCTCCGGCCCTGCTAGTAGTCTCAACCAGCTGTTTCAGTCCACCTCAGCCCCCCCCCCCTCTCTCCCCCACGCACACACATACAAAATAGACTGCACATGAAAGCGTGCTAGCATATCCTGCATGGACACGTCCAGGTGACATTCACATTCTGAGCTTTCCGTGTGTGTGTGTGTGTGTGTGTGTGTGTGTGTGTGTGTGTGTGTGTGTGTGTGTGTGTGTGTGTGTGTGTGTGTGTGTGTGTGTGTGTGTGTGTGTGTGTGTGTGTGTGTGTGTGTGGACAGGTACCAGATTGCCATGGGATGAGACAGCAATCATCGAGTCTCTGTCAGACAGTACAATTTACATGGCTTACTACACAGTGGCTCATTTCTTGCAAAGTGTGGTTGATGGCTCGAAGCCTGGCCTTGGCGATATAAGGTTAGTGAAAGGAATTCATTTGCAGTTGGTCATGCTAGGCGTACACGCACACTGCGAAGGAGTGAAGGCATAGCGTCAGGCTTGTACAATCTCCTTTCCACCCCATTCTGGTATTTCCTCCTCCTCCTCCTCCTCCTCCTACTCCTCCTCCTCCTCCTTTCTTGACCCTCTCTGCACTTTATCCCTGGTCCTGACCATTTTTCTCTGACACCACCACCAACACTACCACTATCATCACTAACCCCAACACCACCACCACCACCATCATCACTAACCCCAACACCAACACCACCACCACCAACACCACCACCACCAACACCACCACCACCACCAACACCACCACCACCACCATCATCACTAACCCCAACACCAACACCACCACCACCACCACCATTAACTCCAACACCAACACCATCACCATCATCACTACCACCACTGCTACATGTATACCATGCCATCAGTCTGCACTGAAGATGCACAATGTGTCAGCTAGACTCAGTATTCTATGGTTAGGTTTCACAATGACTTCATTGCAGATTCTTTTGGTCTAGTTTTTTGTTTGATTTTTCTTCTGCTGCCACTGCTTGTGTTGATAATATCCCACATTAGACCAGAGCAGATGACACCAGAAGTTTGGGACCATATCTTCTATGAGGACAAGCCGGCACCCCAGGACTGCACGATTCCAGTGGATACTCTTCAGTAAGTGAAGTTGTTGCGTTCTGAGTCGTAAGGATACCACAGCATCTCTCAACTATATAGACAACTGTATCTGGTCGTGAGGCAAGACGCCTTCATCATGCGGCATCCCTCACCTAGCCTCGTGCCTTTCTGGAAGAAGTGTCTAACTACAGTATGAATGCTAGGAAGGGAGGCCAATGCATAGCCATGACTCAAGTTGTGCTTTATCTCAGCCCCAGGGTCAAAATGTGCCCTGTAAATGTGAGATTGTACATGTAGTATGTTGAAATATTTTGAACTGGTCGTCAACATACTGCTGTGTGTACTTGACTTACGTTGATGTTTGTGTATGTGCTGACTATTTTCAGGAAAATGCGCAACGAATTCCGTTACTTCTACCCACTGGACTTGCGCGTATCTGGCAAAGACCTTGTTCCCAATCACCTGACCTACTTCATGTACAATCATGGCGCTATCTGGCCGGAGCAGCCTGATCGGTAAGACGGTCGGGTGGGCTGGGTGGGCATGTTTAGCATTCTGCAAGGGAAACAGTCACTTATCTCCCCCCCCCCTCTCTCTCTCTTTCTCTCCCCAGCTCCCTCTCCCAGCACCACCATTGGTTTTTGGAACAAGACTGATCAGTTGTCTGCAGATACTGTACTCTTTATGCGTAGACCATGAAAATGAACCACAATAACCCAGAATATGATTGATGTCTTCCTTGTGGTGGATTGCAGGTGGCCAAAGTCAGTGCGGGCCAATGGACACTTGCTTTTGAATTCGGAAAAGGTAAGTTGTAGTATTGGATACAATTGTTTGTGAGCACTATTACGATCAGTGGCTGGTCCTCTTAACCTGAAGCAGCCATATTGCAATGGGCGGTGTCTGGACTTGACTCGTCATGCCCTGAAGCAGTCATCTTGCAATGGGTGGTGTCTGGACTTGACTCTTCATGCCCTGAAGCAGCCATCTTGCAATGGGTGGTGTGCCGGCGTGTGTATCTCAAAGCAATGACCGTTGTGGATCATGTTCTATTCGACACACGGACATTAGGAAAGCCAATAGCACAACGGGACCATGGACTAGTATTTGTGCAGGATTGCTGTTATGCGTGGTGATATTGCCATTGGTCATACACTATGAAATGAAGGCGTTAAAATTGGTGAAGCACGAGACTAGTGAATGACCAGTGAATGCCGTGGTTCCTGTGGTGTAGATGGCCAAGTCCACGGGAAACTTCTTGACTCTGCACGAGGCCGTGGAACGCTTCTCTGCTGACGGTGAGTAGATCTTCGCTTTGCAGCCTTCATGCTTGTTGCAGATGTTGGAACCAGCAATAGCAGATGTCAATATACATGCATACACTTGCTGGTATACTTAGGCACTGCCTGGCTGAAGCGTATATAAGCTGTTCCTTTGTTTGTATCATAATACTAGTGGAACAAGCCCAAACAGGAGTCGTACATTATTTTCTGTGATCGTTCAGGAATGCGTTTTGCGCTGGCTGATGCTGGTGATGGCATTGAGGACGCCAACTTTGTGGAGGAAACCGCCGACAATGGTATTTTACGTCTTCATGCACAGATTGAGTGGACAAAGGTAGGCCATGTTTTTTTCTGATTACTGTACGGAAGGTTCAAATCTAGACTTGAAATAAAGTTAGTTATACAAACTGAGATGTTATGCAGTTTGTATTGTTATCCTGAGGGGGCATGCAAAAGATAATTGGAAATGACAGTGTTACGAGTGATCAACTACCCTTAGCGTCTGTATTCACAGCTCTATATATGACCCTGACTCACACTGCTGCCTGGTGTTCATGAGGTATTTGTCACGCTGGAAACAGAGCGTCACTGTAAGTTGGTATCCCGATATATTGGCTCGGGGAGCACTACATAACACAGTGATCTTGGAGCACAAAGCCCATCAGCCTACTCAAATTCAACTCATGAGGGGTGAAATCCCCGAAACACCGTGTATTGAGCGGGGAGTGGTGCGTTTTTGCAGGTCTGCCAAGTGGATGGTCCAATATTCTCGATCCAGATGGCAGTCGTGAGTCAGTCAAGTGTCAATCAGCCGGCAGGAAACGCTACCTCCTCTGTTAGGAGAAGACACTTTCTTCTTGAAATAGTTATGGAAGGGAATGTGGAAATTGTAGAGTACTTCTGGAATTTGCACCTTTGATCGAGTTTTCAGATCATCCTATCCACATTATAGTTCTGTAGCAATGGGATCTTGGTCCACGATTTCTTTTCAGGAAGTGCTCGCTAACATCAACTCTCTGCGAACCGGAGCGGCAGACCTGTTCATGGACCAGGTCTTTGAGACTGCCATCAACAATAGCATTCAGCTGACTGATGAAAGCTACAGGAAAATGCTGTACAGGGAGGCTCTCAAATACGGCTTCTTTGAACTTCAGGTGAGCAGGGCGAAATGATACGGATTTCTAATATGGTTATTTGAAAACCCGTTCATTTTTGTCATGTTGGCATTGTCTCCACATCAACTAGCACACTGGCACCACAGCACTGGTGGTAATATTGGTCCAGGCTAATAGTCACTCAAGCCACAGGTAATTCTTTTCTATCACCGCAGGCTGCTGTAGTTCCTATTCCAGGTCTCATTTCATGCTCGGCCAGCAAGCCATTTCCTCCTCCTCCTCCTCATCCTCCTCTCATACAGACCGCTTGTCATGTAGCTCTTACATTGACCAACTATAGCTATAGTTGAGATAGTTGGTGGATGAAAGAGCTCCATGCAGTGTTGTCACTGTGCACGCTTGGACCTGTTCACCTTCCTGGATGGCTCGTGATCGTCATTGCTCACTCATCGATAAGTTACAGTTGAAGGAGTCTCCAAAAGGGAATGTCGGGCGAGGGAGTGTCCAACAGATCCTAGCGAAATACGGCCAGAAAAAGAAATGCAGTGCAACCGCTTACTGTACTTTCCGCATTGACTACTTTAGCAGTAATCATAGTTCTTTACTGATTGTCCTTGCAGCAGTGGATGTTGGTATTTGCGCAGGGTATCGGTCTATATGTACTGCATAGGCTGAGCAATGGTGTTTTCCCTTGCAGTCGGCCAGAGACCAGTATCGTGACATGGCTGCTGCATCTGGTGATAAAGGAATGCACAGGGATCTCATACTGCGATTCATTGAGGTTAGTCAGGGATCCAGCCACACCTTGCTATCTTCCTATATTTGCCTGTATGCATGTCTGCCTCCGTACTTGTCTGTCAATATAATCATACTTCCTCCGCGTCATCGAAATTGTCGCAGTTTGACTTTTGATATAAAACGGGGTATTTACTCACCAGCACTCGTACCAGAGGCAGGGAATGGTATATAGGCGATAGTCATCAGTATAGGGTGACGGTAAAGTTCTATTTTCTGTTATTGGAAGCTGGAATTTTTGAACTAGACGCAACTTCTTCGCTGATGTCGCTGCGATGGTAATTTCGACTCGCGGAGATCAGTCAGGCGTTGCAGCCTGCACATTTCTCGTGCTTATGGCCATTCACTCAAGCCTCATCACTGTTTTACCTTAGCTGGGGTGAGAATGACTTCGTGGAACAAGTGGCAGCGCTTGGAGAAACATCGAGGGGTCAGCAAACTAAATGCCTGCAACAGCGATAAAATTTGTCGCTCTGGCTGAGACACTCAGTACAAGATTGTACCTGCAAGAGCCGTGTAGACTCTACAGGTAGTGCTAGTGATGCACGCGCAGGTGCCGTACCATGGTATACCAGTGATGCTGAAAAACAGGGCGCGCTGGACGCGATAGAACACTTACCTGAGCTACATGAGCTGTGACCAAACAGCTAAAATAAATGGGCATGCCACGGCTAAAAAAAGTTCATTTCAAGATCGAGGTGATTCCGCCGACGGTAATCAACCGACCTCGCAACGATCGTGTATTCTTACTAGGCTTCGTTGGTGGTGAAGTAGAAATCATCCAGAGCTAGCAGACGACAAGCATAGCAGCTCTTGTCCTGTGGAGAAAGTCAAAGCGTTTGAGATGAGGCGCGACCAACTTTCAACCTTCCTTGAAATATTTCGGAACGATATTTTTGCGTCCATTGACATCAGCGACGACGAGGACTTCATCTCTGCATGAAAACTCTCAGACCAACTGTCCTGGAACGTTACTCTAGTCTTCAGACTATCATACTGTGTAATAAGTTTTGAATGGCTTAGCTTACGGAGTTGTCAGTAACAAGTGACAAGTCACTAGTCAAACTGCGACAATTTCGATGACGCGGAGGAAGTACATCGTAAGATGACTACGTTATTCATTTTGTCATCATTCACGAGTGTGCAGCTCGGTGCTTTTTCTCACGACCCTAGGATGTTGCTGCCTAAACTTCAGTAAGATTCTCTGAATGTCTTACTCATCTGGGTTTGTATCTTCATCTGTTCCACACTGGTGTGTAGGTCCAATGTTTGTTGCTTGCTCCGTTTTGTCCACATGTCTGTGAGCACATCTGGGAATTGCTCGGAAAGGTTGGTACAGCACAAGTGGTGTCATCGACACACCAAGCACTAGCCATGTTGAATTCACTCCTGACCCCACTTGTAACAGAGTTCTGTTGCCACACCCAGCTAGGGTAGTATGTATTAATTTGCTTCTGCTTGCAAGTGTAAGGGTTACTCTATCCAGTCCCCTACCCGCAATCAACTGACCGGGGACTAGGGTCCGGCGGATTCTGCCGGCAGAAAATTTGGCAGAATTCGGTACTTTTTCTGGTAAGTTTCATGCATGTTTGGTATGTGGATAAAAAATGGAGCAGAATTCGAGGAATTGCCCGCCATAAGGTTTGTATGGTTCTGCCAATTTCACTGCTTTTCGAGCAGAATCTGCCACCTTTTCGAGCAGAACCCGCCGGTCCCTACCGGGGACATAACATGTCTATTAGTGTAAACGTGACGAATGATGTTGTAGCGATTTTGTATGCCAATGTTTGTAGCTCCCCCCCCCCCCCCCCACCCCTACCCCCATGATATTCGCCTGCATCTACCATGGCTACCTTTGGCGGCATAGAGTATTGGCTGCTGACCAACTGGTCATTATACTGTGCTGCTTTGCACCGCACAGGAAGGCAGCATCATGCATGCTCGATGGCCTGTGGCAGGTCAGATAGATGATCTGAAGCTTGCCGAAACGCAGTATCTGCAGTCGGTTCTGCATGATTTCCGCACACGCATCGAAGGAGCAATCAGCACCAAGGCCAAGAAGGACAAATCCGGTGTAAGCATACGGTTACTCAAACCGCTGCCTAGGCATTGGAAATGGCATACTACTGTCGTGGACATGGAAATCCGGTCGCACGTCCAGCGGCCTCAGGGCGCTGGCCATGCAGCCGTGGGTAAGCAGTACACACATGCTGCAGCGCGCTGGTCGCATCAGATGAAGCGCTGTTCTGTACGTGCTGAGGGCGCCGGCCCCGGTCAATCGACTGGATTTCCATGTCCACGACAGTAGTAATCGCTTGATCTGTGGCAATTTAGGCATTGGTCACCTCTCCAGTTAGCAGTGAACATGCAGTCAACCCCGGCTTTCTAGGTTTTTGCAGTGGGGTGACGTTGTATTCCCACCACCTGCTGAGAGCTTTTTTCTTCTCTTCCCTCCTCTAGTAGTTTGTTGTTTCCATGGCCGGATATAACACTGTATTCGTTCGGTTAGTGTTGTGAACCCTTGTGATTCTCAAAAGTGTCAGGAACGAACGACCACACGGCACGAGGACAGCTATTGACTCTTTAACAGTATATTTCACTTCGATCGACTAAGAACTAACACTAAGACCACCATCTAGTTATTGCGTGAAAATGACAGCGTATATCAGAAAAGCATACACATACAACATACAAGTACAGCGCACACAGCAAATCGCACATAGCGCATGTAGCGTATACCATGCCGTAAACATCAGCGGCACGGCAGAGTCGAGATACAACTGCATTGAAACAAACACAATGTCACAAGCGAGAAGGCCTTTCATACTTGAGAACTGGTAGTTTCGTAACAGTTAGTACCTGGTAATGTAAAGAACATCCGCAGATCAGAACATGCCTGCATCCATATTCTTGACGAGCAGATCCCATTGGTCAGTTGTTTTCATGCATGTGAATAATACATGTACATCTAGCTGTCCCGGATCTTGCAGGTTTGCTAGTGCTGTGTTTGTCACAATTGCTATGTCTCACAACCTAAAGGGCCCGTGGGATGCGCTCACCCGCCACGTATCGCCGGGCCTGCGTGCTTGCATGCACCCCTAGTGTTACAGGTTCTGTTGATTCATGTGTTTCCTGCAGCACGTGGCAGGCATGAAATACACCATCGGTGCCACTATCTACATCTCCAACGAGTATTTGCCATGGCAACAGGATATTTTGAAATACCTAAAGGAAGTGTACACCGAGGTGAGGCCGGGAAGAATCACATTCTGCAGTTTGTAAAAAAAGTGCAATAAGCCGGAACACAATCTGCCTGAGGCCACTTCTGTCCGGGGTTTCATGTGTGCTGACTGCTGAGACATCAGCGAACAAGTTGAACGTGTTTCTGTCCGGTTAATCTCAGTTCTGCTAACAATGCATGTATTCTGCTGGCGTAAGAACTTGATGTAACACTATCGTATCCAGGTCCGAGCTGCCTTTTGATGCCCACAGTCATCTTAAATGCGTCACATACAAGTACTTAGCCAGCTAGACTTTTCTTTGCTTTTCAATCTAGGAGATGATGGTAGCGTATTGCTGGTGTAGGTCCGGTTCAGACAGCGGGAAGCTCTTTCAACAGTAGCACAGCAAGCGGGTGAATTGTCCTGTCTAACTATTCTGAGTTCCATTTGTATGCGCATGCATCGAATGCCGGGCTGCAGGGAAATGGCAAATTTCCAGAGAACAAGACTATGTACGGGCAGCTGACCAATATTGATGGTATGAGCAAGTATGCCAAGAAAGTCATGCCGTTTGTTGAATACATGAAGGTAAGTGGACCAGTTCTACTTCTGAGGTAGACGCTATCCCTGCCAAAAGCAATGCTTCACTTGTTATTTGTTTTCCTACGGGGCAACGGCAGTCTGCGAAGTAGGCATCATGATTGAACGTGTTCCAACACTTGACTGTTCTGTACTGATTTCAGTTTGTAGGACTGAGACTGAGTTTTGGGTGCATCTTGGACCAGATCATGTGATAATGGATTTCCAGAATGGTGCACTTTGGCTGATGCTGCTGTGATTGAAACACCATACCAGTGTTGGTATCCACTAGTCGAGGGAGTTGAATGGGGAAGCCCCACTCGCTTCCTTAGTACTGAGTTTCCTTTTCCATTGTTCCACCTCCAGGACCAAACAGCGAAGCATGGCGTGTCTGCACTCAATCTGTCCACTGAATTTGACGAGGAGAAGTTGCTTGCGATGAATATGCCATACCTGAAAAAGGCGCTAGAGGTATGTACTGCATGCTCTGGTTAGTGTACCGATCCCATGAGCACAAGACAAGTACACGTTGTGCTGCCATAACCTTGGATGTGGCCAGCACGGAGGGCAGTGATTGTGTTCACTATGTAGTGTGTAGCCCAGGCTGATGATGTCATCAATAATACAGTGTCTGTGTTATGGGCTGTACGGGTATGCCAGAAATCAGACATTCATCTTTGAAATGTCTATGGAGACAATCAGTGTTTTGTTCTTGATGGATTGATTCCTGATTGTGTAGGTGTATGAAGGCTATTGTTTTGTGTTGCTATGTGTGATCTGTGCTGTACCGGGGCTAGGTGGAGGAGGTTCACGTTTTGCCCAGCAGCCAAGCGGATGGCAAAGTACAGGACAACTGCTATCCGGGGCAGCCATTCAGCTCGTTTGCCATCGAGGAAAAGGTACATTGAGACCTTCAGCACAAAGTACGATGGATGAATTGTGCCATGGATATTCGAATTATTCTTTGATAGTTACACCGTACAGTAAAGCCGCTCTTCTTATGCGGGGCGCCACGACAGGGAGGGTGTCCGCATCTCAGAACCTTCTCTAGCTCGGAAATACACTACAACCATTGCAGATATGATGCGTGACTGTCTTCTGTTAGGCTCACGGTCCCCAGATGGATACCGTATAGAAGCTTGCACAGTTAAAGCCGAGGGTCACAAGCTTCTACACGGCATAGAGTAGTTCAGCTGACAGCCGCGGAAGGGAAGAACTTTTTCAAGATTTGACTGCACATACATGCCTGCAGGGTGTTTGGTTGGTGAGGGAGGTTCCGGATGTGGGACTTCCAGATATGGGAAGTTCCCGGATACCGTAGAATCCCGCGGATAAGCCCACCCGCGTATACGCCCATGCTCGCGCATAAGCCCAGGGTAAGTTCGAACATCACTGAGCTTCATTGTACAAGCCCATGGGCCTAGGTCATACCAAGAGTCCATAAATTATGGACAATTTATGGACTCTTGGTCATACCATGTACATAGTACATGTACATGTAGTGTTTTTCTTCGTTTTTCGTACATTCCAACACAATCATCGGTTGTTTTTGTTTGCACAGTGGTTTTCAGCAATGTACTTCTCACTTCCTTGATACTTTTCAATAGCACAATGTCGGTGTCGGCGTACAAGCCCATGTTCTCGTATAAGCCCACCGAAATGTCCTTGTGAAACAGATAAGCCCATGGGCTTATCCGCTGGATTCTACGGTATGGGAGTTCTGGATATGGGACTTCAGATATGGGAAGTTCCCGGATATGGGACTTGCAGATATGGGAAGTTCCCGATATGGGAAGTTCCCGGTTATGGGAAGTCCCCGGATACGAAGTGGACAACTGTGCTATATCTTGCCAGTTCATTTGTTCCCGGCTATTACATATATCTCAGCTAGGAAGTACTGAAGTACTGTATTGGTGTATATTACAACCCCTTGAAGTCACAGTGTAATTAAAATGAAGGTTCCGACACTATTCTGGTGGTGCAGTTCCTGTACTTGAACATACTGTCTCAATGACATTATTGTTTGGACTGGTGATGTGATGTTTCTTGTCTGATAATGTCATTGCTTTTCATAACTCCTGATGCAGCCGCATGTGGTGGTGACTTTTGTCAGTCGACAGTCAACTGGAGCGGATACCAAGCCACTAAGCCTGCCATTGTTCAATGGTGATACTATCATGGCCGTGTCACGCCGCATTATCAAGCAAGACAGCTCTCTATCTCGTAAGCAAATGGAATAGCATTACAAACAGTGTTTCTTTGCACTCTGAGTCGTTGGTTTTGGAAAACGAGTGTGGATGATTCTTTCTCTTGGTGCGCCTTTACACTTCAAGAGTGTGGGTATAGAGGGCAATCTATGCTAGCAAAACTGCCGGGAAACTCAAGCCAAGGCAATCAACGCCATGTGTGTAGGCGGTACCCAATGAGTGTACCATGATTGTAGCTCGCTTGGACCCCATCAACCTCAATTGGCCTATACAACACCCACCGCATTGTAGCATGTACAGTCTTAATGCGCTAAAACTACGGTGTGTATAGTAATGGTTGTGCCTCTGTGCCAGTGTGCCTCCGAGTATGTCTCTGTGCCTCTATGTCTCTATGTCTGTCTCTGTGCCTCTGTGCCTCTATGTCTCTGTGCCACTGTGCCTATGTGCCTGTGTGTCACTGTGCCTCTGTGTCACTGTGCCCCTGTATCACTGTGTTTCTGTGCAGAGTATGCCCAGCACATCACACTGTGGAAGAGCAGCGACTCAACCGCCGCTGCTGGTACTGAACAGCCTGATGGTGCGCAAACCGCGGTGCCAAGCAAAGGCGTTTTCTCGATCGACGACAGCTCGAACACCGCTCTTTGTCAGGAGACCCTGTCGGACGGAAATCTCGGCGAGGCAATCCCAATAGGCACCCGCATGTTCTATTCAACGTGATCCACTGAGTGAGAACATGAACACACCACCGCCTCTCTGCTGGATGCCATTCAGGGAGATAGTCACTGGTGATATTTGAGGTGTAGGGCAGAGAGATATCACCGATCACGTACTCAGAGTTTTCACCACATTTCAAAACATTCTGTGCTGTTCCCGCCGGTTCATTCATGTGTGGACAGGCAATTTTTTCGTATCAGGAACTTCTTGTGCACAGTATTGGTATGCATCCGCCAGGTTGTACGTATTCCGCTTTGCCGGCGCCGCTGCTTTCAGACTACATGCACCACTGTCTGAGGTTTGCGCATTCATGTTAGTTTGCTGTATATAACGTACTACCCTGAACTTATATGTACCATAGGATTGCGGTACTGAACGGATGTGAAAGGTAGCAAATGCTTCAATCTTTGGTTCTGTCTCAGCACATGCACACTGCCACTGGTACGCTTGCTCATTTGCTTTTTGTTTATACATGCACATGCACATGCACATCACCGCCACCGCCGCCGCACACATTAATTTTGTCTGAGTATCTTCAATCATGGCGCAGGCTTTCAGGCTGCAGCGTCTCGTTACAACGGTGGCAGACGGTAAAATTGCATCTTCCTCTCAACATTTATAATATTTCTAGTGTAACTGAGTAACGTTAGTTACTACAACAACAAGTATAATAAAATTAATTATGCATAAGACCGGTTTCAAGAAATATAGCCGTAGTGCACACTGATCCGCAAAGTCAGGAGAATGAACTTGACTGATGATGATGACGACAACGACACATTTATGTCGTTAGCATACGGTAGCCCACAATTACCGGGTACATTACCGGGTACAGGTCCTCCCTCATTATAACGAGCCCGGTTACTACACAAACCGTTAGCAAAATTTGAAATACCCTCAGGGGCCTGGCGAAACATGGTCTATACCGGGCCATTGAAGTCACAGTGTTTACAAGTCCGGTTATAACATAATTCGATTGTCCATAAAACACGTCACATGTATAACGACCCTTGGGCTGTGTCCCTGAGGTGCCAAACCGTCTTCAGTGTAGGATATTATTGTCCATACAACACATGCCATGACATGTTGCGATTCCATAGAGAACACTTCTGCTGTAAAAGTCTCACGAGTTACTGAAAACGTAAAGAATAAACAGCACTGTAAAGTTCCTGCATGCCGGCTGCCGGCTAATTGGTGCACGTACGTACATTTACGTGTACGGTGCTGAAGTGCCTCCCGCGGAAAAAATCTGCGCTGAAGAAATTGGCGCCGACATGTCCCGCGCTTAAAAATTTCGCGCTGAAATCATCGGCGCTGTCACTGCGCTGAAATGGCACCGAGCTGAATAAATGCCTTGCGCTAAGGCGGTCCCGCTGAAGTGCACCGCGCCAACATGGACGCGCTGTCGCGGGAGGTTACCGAATGGGGCTGTTAAGTGTGACGTCACGGCTCCTTCGATACGCATAGCAACGGAGAGCACTGGGGACAAACAAAAGTCGCGTCCTCTGGATGGACCCAGATGTCAAGGGCAACAGCATCTAAATGACTGGAGAGACAGTTGTTTTTCTTTGCTTTTTCTTCAAGCGATTGTTGTCGCTCTTTACTCCTTGTTCTTTCCTCTACAAAACTCCTGTAGTCGTCGAGTGCCTTCATGATGGCTGTGAAATTGGCTGCCCACAGTAAAACTCCGTGTTTGAGAGTGCTTTGAAGATGTTTCGCGTCCTGATGGATCAAAGTATGAGCGCTCCTTGTGGATTCGATTATATATAGGTGAGTTGTTCAAGAAATCAGTGTCTTCTTTCTGTCTCTGCCCTCACGCTGGCACAGTATCAGCCTCTATATCCATGACAGCTCGTACCTCCCGTAAACTGCATGACTTAGATATATTTTCGCCCTCCGTGGTGATTGAAGACCCATGGAAGAATTTATTATGTTCAGAATGATGTCCTAAGAATATAAAATAAAATCGTTCTAGGGAATTGTCATAGGGTATTTTTGGAAGGATGGAGACAGAGAGAGAGAGAGAGAGAGAGCACTGTTTGAAGTGTTTGTCTCACTGTAATTACTCCAGATTATTGAATGTTGTATGATCTACTCTAAATTTTCCATAATGGTTTTTCCTGATTTGCGGGATCTCTTCTTTTGCTGTTTGCGTGTTTACAGGAAGTGGCTGTCTGGTGTAACTGCACCAGATCCTGGGGAAATTAAGTCAGATGCAGAGGCAGGGTCGTCCAGTGATGCAACACTGCCGTTCTGTGTGCAACGTTACCGCTAATACCCCCGGCGAAAACACAAAAAAGACAAACACGTGAAAAGACTACAGTATTGACCGTTCTGCTAATAAATGCATGACTGCTCCGACAGTCGATAATCGAAACACAGAGCACCAGCATGATGTTTTCATATTGGGAACCACACAACAGCTCAATTCTCAAGCCCAAAAATTGATGAATACAAATACAGAGCGACGCAACAAGAGGTCATCCGGCAACCAAACAAAACTGGGTCTAATGCACTGAATAGTCCTGAAATACGCAGGCCAGACAAAGCAGTGCAAGCACATAATGTTACAAGGTACATGCATTGCAGAACAAAGTGTAACCAAAGATACACAGGGTTATAGCTGCACACTTGTGCATGTGCTCGCTCAGCCCAAGAACACACGATCATGATGATAGAAACAATCCGGGGGAAACACGCTAACACCGAAGTAAGCATCAACACGTAAATAGTGCAGCTCTGAAAAATTTACATTGACATGTACATTGGTGTGTCGAGTAGTATCAGGCTTGAATAATCATCCAACCAAGACTTCATCAGGTCCCAGACGCTGAGATCGCACGCCGAATGTGAAGTGCATCTAGCCTTGAACCTGTCGCACAAGGCACACATGGCAAAATGACATCCACTCTGATTATTTCCAGAGGCCAATCATGACAGAACACAGAAATGAAACCACGGGCTCAACCAAGTAAACGCAAAGGAAGTTAGTCAAAATAATCCATGCAGTGCTCTTTTAATTGCAGCGCTGATTGCAGTGTTGCGTCATAGCCCGATACCCGCTGAGCACAGACACAACTCCATTCGTCAGGGGCAAGACATACTCTTTTGGAATAAAGTCATAAAGTACAGCGTTCCAATGACATTACGGACACCTCGTGTAAATGCATGGTCTGTTCATCTGGCCGACTCGGCCACGCATGAGAGTGTGTGCATGTACATGCGCGCGCTTGCACGCGCGCACACACACACCATGTATTCGGTGCGTATGGTATACCAGTTGCGGGACAATGAAGATGGAATCATTATCATGATGTTACATGTACATCTACAGTGTATGTTTGAGTGTAAAGTAAATTTTATTTTATTGCACATTTCTTCGACACAACTAATTACTTACTTCACATGTTCGCATTTCTCATAATCGATCCATCTGCACTCCGTATCAGTCGAGGAAAAATTCTCCCAGATATACACTAGTCACCACAGCCATGTGATGACATTGGGATGGGCCCCAAGCAGTGCACGATTGCACTCTCTAGTTACAATAAATTTGGCCAGATTATCTGTGAAGACAAAATGCAATGCATAGCGCCAATCGATGGATGAAGAGAGAGTTTGTAAATACCCAGATCTTTCCACTTGTTCAGGAGCTTACCTTTTGGAGTTCACATCGTTAACACGATCTCTCATGCTGTCTTGCACCTTGGTTTTGTTGACCATGGATAGGCCAACCCAGAAAACATTCTACAGGAGCTACTAATGCAGAGCGTTTTTCACGCTCGATCTCGGCGATCTACCTTGTCACGCCAATAAAATACTCCATGACACTGGCTACAGTCACAAGAGACGTCTCAGTAAGGTAATGAGCACGACAACATCGTCGAGATCAAGGACAAAGAGAAAACAAAACACTCACTGAAAACAGCAAAGAAGAAACGAAGAAATGTACACGATTCCTATATGTTGCCACTGACAACTGGGTCGGTGGAGACGACGCTACTTTTGTTTGTCCCCAGTGGGATCGTTGTTATGCGTATCGAAGGAACTGTGACGTCATCACTTAACAGCCCCATTAACGTCAAAGTGACATCATGTCATGCATGTGTGATGTACACAAAATTATTGTGGCCGTGGATCAGGGAGTCTGACGTGACGTGAATGCTTAAAAAATCAGGAACTCCCGGCGCCGGCCCCGATGATTCGCTGAAACAATAATAATTTTTTGTTTTTGGTTTTTTTGAAACAATTTCAAACATTCGTAGACAAAGGTTGCGTGTCGGTTCTTGCGTCTTTCCATCGTATCAGTTTTACAAGTAGATCCCCAGGAGCAAGTGGTGGTAGATCTACGAGTTATCAATATAGCTATCGGGAGATTGTTTCAAGAATGGCGAGTGCGGTGCTGACTTTGCCCAGTGGGGAAAGCCACACATTGTACAGCAGCAGTCCATCAGAAACGTCTGAAATCATTGCTGCGACAAGAGCGATGCAAGCTGAAGTCAATGCAGCCTTGACGAAAGCCATCGAGGAAAGTGGAGACGCTGGTATGTATATTGTAGACAGTAGATTGATAATATGCAGCACCTTTTGCGCTAGTTTGTTATGCATGCACAGTGTAGTGTTTCGTTGAGTGTTTTTAGAATCGACGAGATACTACATGTAGTACAGAAACTGCATGATCGTCATTAGCTTCTCCGAACCCTCAGTCGCATAACATTGTTGTGGTCTCTTTCTTTCAATACTGACTCACCAAATTTTTGGGGATGGTGAAACCGTAAAATCATTCGTAAAGACCAGTGGATTGTCGATTTGTTGGGTCGGGATTAAGATTTCATTACAAAATTCCCATGGCCAAATCTAACAGGACTGTACTCGAGTATTTTGAGTGCACATGCGGCCTTCGTTTTATTCATAGCTATATTAAAACAAATGAGAACGTGTTACAGGAGAGTCGCGCCCTGAAGACCGTGGAGCTCAAGAACGTCCAGCCTGAAATTTTAAGAACGCCACAGCCCAAATCTAAGAACAGTGGTGTTGGTTTTCTGGCAGATTGTGGGATACATATCATCCAGTATGGATTGTTTCTAAGAACGTGCTATAAGAACGCAGCCAGATTGCTGAAAATAAGAACGTCCCAGGCTAACCCATTGGAAACAACGTTCTTGGGCGCGACTCTACTGTATGTAGCAACTATCCACGACTGTAACAAGATGATAAACAGTCAGAAAGTGCGATAATAGGGCACAAAACTGACAGGCTCTTGAGACATTCAGCGACCTGAGACCTAGCTCTAACACACCTCCAGTGCGCAAACCAACAGCCTTCCAACTTGGACAGTTCATGATTACGTAGAACCGAAGAGGGGAATGTAGCCATGAACCTTTCAAGTTGGAAGGCTGTTGGTTTGCGCATTGGAGGTGTGTTAGAGCTAGGTCTCGGGTCGCTGAATGTCTCAGTAGCCTGTCAGTGTTGTGCCCTGTTATCGCACTTTCTGACTGTTTATCATCTTGTTACAGTCGTGGATTGTTGCTGCATAACTCGTTGTTCTCTTTTTTACATTAACATTTTTTTATCACTGGCTCAGTATCATTGCGCCATACGGCGCCATAACTCGAAGTGTCGGGGAGCCGAGTATGGCATTGTATTCCTCTTACATGTAGTTCACGAACCTACATGTGTATCTGCTCCAGTCGAAGTGAACATAATGAAGTTGAATAATGCAGCCAGAGCGAAATGTAGCCCGAGTACTGGTATAGTAATGTGCGCGAACTGGTTCAAGAGGTGGATTGCTCGGACTCGGAATTTCCATGATTATGCAAGCCGAACACAGAACTGGTGCCAGAATGCGAGTGACAGGATTATCCAACGAAAATTGCGCGACACGTGATTGCGTAATCCATGAGGGGGGGGGGGGGAGTTACGGCTTCAACACTGCAATGTAGTGTTGAAGTGGCAGTGCAATGAGTATGACTATGTCATATTCATTGCACTGCCACTTCACAGCTCCTGTAACTGCAGGACATCGTGTCCAGAGTTTCAATCGTATGAAAGTTCGATGCACTGTTTTCCAGCTAGTAATCATCTATGTTCACCATGCTGCTTTGTTCTGCTTGTATTCTATTGTTCTATGTCTAGTAGATGCCCAAGCCGCCCCGGCGGAAGATGACGACGATGACGAAGATGACGAAGAGCCCGCTGCTGAGGATGAGAGTGAGGGTGCAGCAGTAGCAGAGACACCTGGTTGTAACGGTGGCAATAGTGAGCCAAACGCAAAGCGTCGCAAAGTGACGTAACAGTTGTGTTTCGGCTGGTTTGGAGTGCCATCGTATGTATGTTGTCTGCTCAGTCGACACATAGTGTACATATGAACCGAGACTTGGCTAGCCATGTTCTGTAGGAGCATGTATCTGGATTATACTTGTGCAATACATGTCCATGCTCGGGCCTAGGTGCATAGCACAAAGTGTGCATGCTCACTTCCAACTCAGTGCAGTAAGTATGGTAGTGATACGAGTACATGCATCCGTGCATGTACTTCCTACATTCGCTGGCACCATGTCAAGGAAATTGGCTTTGATTCAAATCCAGTTCGAAGTTGCTCTCCCCCCCCCCCCCCCCCCCCTCCTGGTCACATGACATCAGTATGACTATTTGTGTACTGAGGACACTTGAGAATATTGCATGGACATCAATGCATATTTTTCTGTTAAGCATGTCCGCCAAGTTTATGCACGTGTTATGGCTTTGTTTCCTGCATGTCTTGAATGCTGATATGCTGAGAGGGGCTGGTGCACGTGCATCTTAGCAATGCGCAGCCTTGCGGGTTGAAGCAAGAAGTCAAATTGAGATTATGCTTGTGATAAGCAGAACTTGATAATATTTTTAAAATGATGTTCAATCAACTGTGCCTATACATAATTCCTTGCTGACCTGTCATTTACGAATGTTTACTTTCAATTGTGGAAAGATTGTGGTATGGCTACGTCAAGGAAAATTCTCCTCAAGTTACAATCATTGTAATGTGTCTCAAGAAGGTGTGTTGTGCTGCTGTTGGCAGCGAGACCCCTAGGTCATACAGCCGTGCAGTAGAAGAGCAGGATTGTGTTGCTGGTGGCAGCTGTATGGCCCCTAGGTCATACAGCTGTGCAGAAGAAGGCAACCTTGCGTCGCACGCCAGGAGCTGTGAACAAGCAGTGAGACAGAGCACAGCACAGCATTCATTTAGTCTCATTGCTCTATGCCTCTGAGTGGGAAGAAACAAAGCAAAACGATGATAAAAGTGCACCAGATTTCTCCTGCTGAATTCAGCATGCGCGCAGATACTAATAACAAGAGTACATGTACATAACCAAGAGAATGTGCAGTTGTGCAGTTGCACACACTTTGTTGAGTTTCGTACTGTTGAGTACAGGTCAGGTACAGATACACGCACTCCATCAGACATTGGATCTTACCTGATGCCGGCCTTGGTTCTGCCAGAGTTGATACTGACAATTGCCTAGAGCAGACAAACATGTGGAAGACGAGAATTAGATTAACTGACGTTACATCACCCTGGCTTTGCTCCTCTCATTACATATTCACACCGTCTAGTTTTTTTATATTTTCGCATTCCTTTGTTGCGTCCATGGAGCTATGAAGCCGAGACCTCTGGTCGGCTGAGCTTAATGGGCCCCACCACCACACTCCATTATTCACCTCAGCGTCTGGAGATATGTGGATTTTGTAGAGAAAAAATTATCAACTCTTGCTGCTTTGTGTTGTTATCAGGCTTAGCTTGTATGTCACATGTATGAGTACACACAGTATGGTGTCTGCCTTCACATCAGCCAAACACTACTGAGCTCTTACCTAGATTTCTGGCACCCATTTGAGTGTGCGGCGTGCAAATGTGGTTCAGCACTGACGGGCCTGTCCTGCATTGCACCAAGACCGGGGATGCTGAGGAAGTGGAATGCTTTTCTCGTCTGCTCCTGTTCATCAGAGCATAACAACAAAGGAAAACATGGTCAGAAACGAAGGCAATGCTCAACCATACGTGGAGTTTCTCCATTTTACCGCCACACAGCACTGTCAGTGAGTGATGTGGATCACAATAAGCCCCGGATTGCGCTATGATACAGCTTGTGCCATGATCACCGCAGAATAGCCACCTGGGCATGGCTGTGTAGGGTGTTAAACAGTGCATTGCTGATCCCATCGTATTCACATGCATTGCTGACACATTCCATAGCTGGCCATACGTATTCAGAGGTTATTCAGATACCTGCTAGTAGCAAGAATAATAAGATCCCTGGGAGTATATGAACTCCTGCTAGTACGTGTTGTAAACTTGTTATACACATGGTTAGTACACAAGATAACATTTCTTTTAAAGGGTCTGGGTGATTACATTAGCACATCAACATCCAGTGCGGGCCTTACCCAGTCGCTGTCGGGGGCTGCGTTTGTCTCGCCAGGTGTGTACGCCATCGGCACATCTGTCTGCGGTGAACTCGGCGTACTCGTACCCAAGCCACTTGAGGCCAGGCTGAGCCGGTTCTCGGACATCCAGCCGTCGGACGACCTCGACGAGCTGCTGTCGCTATGGCGCGGGTAGGGGGAAAGTCCCTCGTGGTGGCTGTCAGGTGATGTGCTCTGCAAGTCGTAGCAATACTCCGAACCTGACGAGTCGTCTTGCTCACCCAGTAGTGTTGGCATGCTCATAGACAGGTTACCAGCCTTGTTGTATGCCTGACCAGGGTGTGTGTGTATCCTCGTGTTCCTGCGAGAAAGAAAAATGCGTACATAGAACAACAATAAGACATTGAGTAAACGCTCCTGCATCGAGTCTGTTTCAGGGTATGCTGGCGGTGGAAATTAGCAACCCCCAGAGGCACATGTACTGCTTTGAAATGTACTGGCGGAAAATGAAATTCAATTGTCCGTTCATGGCCCAGTGCTAGCATGGGTATGTCTGCTGGAGTGTTCGTACTTCTGATCATGCATACTGCATTTTACTGCAACCAACGTATGTTAGAGTTGAGCTAGAAAACCTCTCGTGTGACTTGCACCCCAATATCAGCACTCGGCCAGGCGCCGTGGGTTGCATGGTCTAAGGCCATGCCTGCAAAGCCAGAGGTACCTGGTTCAAGTCCTGCCTGGGGGCTATTTGTCCAGCCGCCCTGCTTCCAACAGTCAACTGGGATCTTGCGGCCAGGCAAAAAAAGGTAGATCTACATAAACATGGCCAGTGGGGTGTTAACATTAGGTACTGTATCTGTTGCAGGGAAAATACGATCGTAAAGGTGTTGTCAGTTCCCTTACGGCCTTAGGCATGAGGAGAAAGTCAACTTTTTTCATGATATCGGCATTGAACTGGGGCACATTACACTGAGGCTAGTTTATGTACACACAATCAAGTTTCCTAGCAACTGGCATGGGGTTGTGATGTTCATGATGGGGAATTGCCAGTCACTTAGTAGAGCAGGGAGACCATGATATTTGTGTTGCACAATTTGTTTTACTACACCTGGAGTGACTTGAGCTGGAGGTCAGCTATACATGATGACAATTAGAGTTTGTCACCTGGATGCACTGTTTCTATACAATTGATAACTATGCAGTGGACGTGTGGTAAGTATTATGTCACTTGTCTAGCTTTGGCGACTTACGGCATCACAAATTGGAGGGTGACCGATGCCGAAGACTCTGCTTGTGCTCCTCTGGATGTGATGAACGTCCGATATAGTTTCCCACGCTCCAGCTCGACCAGCTCAAGAGAGCAGGTACGTCTGCCCTCCACAAATGCTTCCACCTCATCATTCACGTACACGGTATATCCCAGAATGTCAGGCTCGGTAACGTCAGCTTCTGTGGTCTCTGTACGTCTGGATTCCCTAAATTGATGTGTGGGTGAAAAGCAATACAACAGTAACGTTAAACAATCAATGAAAAACGCAAAGCAAACAAACTCATGCACTGAATGCAAAGCAAACAAACACCGAACACAGGATACATGTTAACATAACCATTCCCCAATCTCCACAGTCATGGGCATTCCCCAATCTCCACAGTCATGGACAACATTCCAAACTGCAGTTACATCCTGTTACTGTTGGGCTGATGTGTTGTATAATTATTATACCTACGCAGGCTGCTTTTTCAAATGCATCAATCAAGTCTTATTTCAATTGCTTCAAGGCTACACCCAGCACTCCTGCCATGCCAAACACGCATTGATGAGCCCCTGCAAGCTAGCTGTTGAGTATGCAACTACATGTACCACAGTACCAGTGTGTGTACGGTAGTAAGTTAGCAGCAGCATAGTGTGAGTGTGAATGGCGCCCCAGCTGAGCCGCCCCTCACCAAATATGCAGCCCTAGTCCAATGCAGATTACCCTTGTCATTTGGGAGGGTAAGGAACTTGAGTGGACCAGGAAAGGACTGGATTGATCGTGAAAAATGACTCTTATGAGGCAATGGAATACAGTAGATGTGTGAGTCAGGCAACACATGTGTGCACGTATAGGCGTGGACGGAAATCACACTCATGCACTTTACTCTTCGGTGTAATTGCCGGCCTGGAACATAACAGATTTTAAAATAATATTTTCCTTGTGTTTTATTAGTAGATCTAGCAGAATACAGAAATGCCATTTGCTGCATATCTTACTGGGGTGGCGTCCAGTACAATGTTGCCGTGTTGTCCGCGTGTTTCGTTACCCGCAAGCCCCTTGGTGGCTTGACCTCGCACACGAACGACACTGCAAAACATAACAAAGGTAGAAGGAGACTGTGAGTTAGAGGAAAAGGATAACGTGGGGCGGAAGGGAGAGATGAGTGGTAACTCAATTCAAAAGCCAATCGGTTTCAGCACATGTGTCACAGATCCTGCAGTCACCTTCCTTTTCCTTCTTTGTCCATCACTGCATCAGGTTGGAAGCTGCGCAGAGATGACCCACTTGAGCGATGCTGGGGACATATCGGTGCTGGTCTATTTCGAGTGGTTCCCTAGTGCCCCTGGATCACCTGATCACAGTGAGAGCGACCTTGGTGTTATGAAGGTCATTCATGACGCTCTGTCCGTTCAGTACCAAGATCAGTGTTTGCTTGCAGTCCCCGCTGAGAGTGCGAACAGTGGCCATATGGCCATTATGGGTGCTAACACATGCCTGCGTGCAGCGCTCACCTCCCAGAGCAACCGCGTACCGCGACTTCAATCTGCACTGTCGGATTGTAATTATTTGTGGAGAGCACGCACATGCATTCCGTCCTTCAAAAATCATAGTCACACTGACAGGCACAATCATGAAAATAGATTCCGCAAGGCAATGTCGCAGCTATTACACAAGTGGTTCAGCAGAGTTGATTGTCCAATTGCCCAACACACCCCTACCCCATTTTTTGTTTACACTAAGCACCGCTACTTATTACCATTGCTGCTAACTGAGAACTATTACTTGAGAGGTAGGACTGACTGTATATCAGCTGCATGGGGCATTGTACCATTCTTTATAGGGCAGACCACATGCTGGAATTCGTAAGCTTGTGAATCGCTCCTGCATGCTGTCATGACATAGACAATTTTCAGCAGTGGTTCTCAGTGCCGCCTCTTTCTAGCGTTCCCCGACGGTATTGACTCGTCAAAATCCAAACATGGAGGTAACCAGCTATCGAACAACTTAGGAAGCAACGCGGAACTGCACAATTTAACTCTTCAGTGACGAGCAGTTTTGGCCGGTGCGACCACAAATCGAATCAGAACTATGCTCCCGTGCACAGGACGGCTGTACAACTGTAGATCTGCCGCAGTGCGTAGCCAAGTAAATAATTGAGAACCTCAGTGCGAGCATACTCATCTTGCTACGTCAATGATGGTTATCCTATGCATTTTGTTGTTTTGACCCCATGCAGCTCAGAGCTGGCACAGATCAGCTTTAGAAGAAAATTATTACCGGGTGGCATACGGATCAGAGTGCTATCTCATGATTCCAGAGAAACGTTGCCCGTACTTCCCCTACCTGCTCTCCCCGTTCATCCCTTGCCCAAACATGCTGGCAGTGAAAATACACTAAATTAAAGAGGTCACGCGGTGAATTCCGACTGTTCCGGCAATACCATCCCAGTATGTCGAGGATTTCGGGACTGCGAGGATTCTAATATTCACCTATGTACACGTACTTTCCTGTAATAAAGTATGAATAACTGAAACGATTGGACGACCTCTGAGAAGTAGCACAGTAGACCCACTGTTCTGGGCGCTTTTCAAGCTAGAACTTCAATGTTGTGTGACACTAGCAAGCGCTCGCCGGAGTCCATCCTCCTCCAAAAGCGATTTCCTCTGTATAAGTTACTCGTGGGCACAAATGTCCAAGCCCTTGCCTGATTGGTGAATGCTGCGCGCCGCCGCACTCAGTGTGACTAGAACAGACATACCAATATTCCGACACGACTGAATCAGTAGCGTCGTCGATCGGCCATTCCTTTACTTGTGTCTAGTACGTCCGCGGCTAGATACTCAGTCGTTTGTGGAGCAGCTTGTGTTTGATGTCATAAAATACACCACACTATTCAAAGTGTTACGAGAGGGAAGAACAGGACTAAAATAGGCGCACTGTACCAAGGTGACACATCCGACCGCAATCCCAATGCCCATCTTCACAATACAGGTCAAGGACAGGCAATCGTCCATTTAACCCTTTGGAGTCCATGGTTCGATTTCGAACCATGGGCATTTTGTATGCATGTGGGCGCAGTCAAACTTTCGGTTCTCGGCCAAATCTTGACCAAAATCAACAATCGAAGGGTCTAGATGGTAGAGAAAACTCTCAGCTATCGCCTTGAACAGGTCCGAAGTCTCTCCGACGAAGTTTGAGGGAGCGGCGAGCGATCAAACATTTCCAATTTTCTGCGCTGCGTGCTGCGAGTCAGCAGTGCGTGAAAAAAAGGGATTTTCCCAGCTTCATGACAGGCGGCACGTGTCATGACCGGCGCGGCAGGAAGTCACGGCAAGGTAAGCTTCTACTCGAAAAAATTTGAACAGTTCCGAGCTAGATTCAGTGAAATGGCTACAGGAGACCGATTTCGTCTCAGATCTGGAGCTGGACTCGCGTTTGGGGCGCGTTGTGGTTGACAATGAATAGTGCTCTTGGCGAGTTTGAGCTCATTGTATTTCTCTCATCAAGAGCTTTCCAACGAGCTCAAGATCTTCAAAATCGGTGAAGTAGAACCAAAGTTATGTTGGAAATGGAGTGCGCATTTTCGTGACTGCCACAAATTCTGCGGAAGCAAACAAGTTACGGACTCCAAAGGGTTAAAATACTCAGTATTAAGGTGCACGCTTCCAATCCAGGCCCACACAATTGAACAGTGTATTGTACACAGTCACCCTCGCAAATGAACACGACACGCAGATTTGTTCCATACATACATGTACTAGTGTGTGTATAGATCATGTACATGTCCGTGTACCTGGCTCAGCGGCGTCAGCGCCTGAGTGAAGTGAAAGGTTGGCAGATCATACTTGCTACCACTTCAGTGTTGGTGACAATACAACTGCCTGAATCTTGACGAACGTCGTGGGCTCAGGACTAGCCGCCCCACGCGACAGCTGTGTTAGTCTTCTTCACAGTTGGACTGACAAGTCGTGATGAAATCAGTAAAGAGAGTTACCGCTAATCAGTAATCAGCGCTTAGACTTGTGGAAACCTTCGCATTATCCACCACTTTTCGAAGAAGATAAAACATATTATTGTCCTCTTGAGTCTTGTTCCGTTTACAACTTTCCCTCCAACTTATGATTATTGTCCTCTGTCTGCGACATTTGTCAACAAATGCATCATTATAGGATATCCTGAGTAATGCGAGTTAGTTAATCTAATGGTACAAAACTTATCAGTACGGCAGGGTGGGGTAGATATGTGCCGAATAGTATATACGTCCAGCCCAACTAGCAGGATTGGGCACGGAGTGATAAGCACGTGCGACCTCAGCGCAGTTCATAGTTTTCTTACTCCACACAATGTACTTCGCAATACAACACACTCACTAAAAACCTGTCACCCTATCCACCAACGAGGGCCTATTAAATAATTATAACGCCTGCTACTGTGTTTATTATAATAGTGTAATAAACAGTATATTGTATACATTATAAATACAACGGTATCCTATGTCATAGGATACCTACAGGCATACATACAATACCAGTGTCCAGAATGTGATAGGCCTGCTAAACACAAAACAGCCGTGATCCACCCAACTACCCTTCTAACCCTGACCTGGCTTACCATGGTATTGATGTGGTTTACACTCAGCGTCAGCGTCACGTTCATTGGGCCTCCTCCTCTGGGTGTCCGTATCTGCAGGGCGACTCTCAGCATCCTTGTTCGTGCAGCGAAGGACCTTCTTGCCTCGAAAGCTTCGCTTGCGTCCCAATAGTGTTTTTGTCGATTGGTAGTTTACAGTTACAAAGTTTCTCTGTGGTGACTCTACTAGACTCTCGGCCGTCGTGACCGAACCAGCCTTTTGCCCACGCTGCTGCTCTGTGGAGAATTCCTTGCCACTTTCTTCTGCCAAGTACGCAGGCAGAGAGCAGATGCTGGATGCGTTCCTCATATTGCCCGACCGTCTAAAGAACAATTTGTGAGTGTCGGATTGCGTTGGGGGGTTGACTGAGATTTGCGGAACGGGCTTGATGGTCGACACAACACTGTGAAGGTCCCTCTCCTCTTGCGTGCTGGATCTCCTCCTGCTGAAATCATAGCCCAGGCAACTGGCACGATTGAGAGTTTCCCGCAAGTGACCCAGGCTAGAATAGAACTCTGTGTCACATTCTGGAGGCAAACCTTTCGGCAGGGCCGCCACCGCTGTTGCACGCTCGCGCACTGGGCTCTTCATGGGCTTCTTCAGCGTGCTGACAGTCATGATTTTCTCACTCGTAGGTTGTTCTGAAAGAGCTAAGCAGCCAGGTCTGTCTATTGGCACGACTACAGGCTAACAGCAGAGCAGGAACGGAAGGAAGATGACACTTGTTCAAGAACAGGACAGCGGCCAGTAGAGATGATAGCCCGTGAAAAGCGAAAAGGTAGTTTTAACACAAATGGTTAGGCACCTGCAACCAGCAACTGCTCCACCGTATTTGAAAGCGCCGGAGACAGAATGTGCCCGCTGTTGACACGGACGCCGAGTTTTAGTGTAAACTGCCAAACCTGTCGCGGAAATAAACCCCAGAAGCACTGCGACTGGGTAAAGTCAAGCTGCGGGATCCAACAGCTGCAGCAAGTATGGTGAACTACGCGTATACGGTATGCTGTGGATGACTGAGACAGTGAGAGCCGCCCTATCGTGTGACCGCCTTAGAGACAGAAAGGCCCGGTCGTGTGTGCATTATGTCCAGCTGATTCCATGATGATCCAGAGCAAAAGCGCACAGAGATAGAGATAGTCACACGCCTCTCAGCAGTACTCACTTGTACTTTTACTAGTTTTAGGCCAATGCAACACTCTGCTGCTCTGCTGCTAAGTATTGTACTAGCAGTAACTAAGAGTAGGATGGCTACTGAAGGGCAATTGGAAGGGCTCTTGAGCTGACACGGGGCAACCGCACTGGGCGTGTAGGCAACTGTATTCACCATGCTGAAGCAACCGTCACGTGACGTGTCGGCGGAAGCACCCAATGGGTCCTGGCCGCCATTCACGTTGCTCAATGAAAGAGCGTCAGTATTCACTCAAGTATCATCATCATCAACAACTAACGGCAGGAACGTTATAAAGCTACATTACTCCTTACAGTCATTATGTTAGTAAAGTGTAGAGGAGATCTGGACATTGCCGGATTAGCAGCTGTGAGCGGTTTACATAATGATTCTAACTGAAAACTCAATACAATCATGCAGTTGCTCACCCGTGACTAATACTGGAAACACTATCCTTATTCAGGCTCAGCAAGATGTGAGTACAGGAATGGAACAACAGCAACGCAGCACATTTAATCGCCACCAGTACGGCTTGACACAATATATTCAAGCTCGACAAAATCACGGTGCGCACTGCTGCTACCACAGCACCGGAGAAGCTACCGTTTATGGGCGGAAACAAAAACGGCACAACAGATTCAAGACAATTATTAGGAATAGTAGAGCATGACATGGAGAGGAGAATATAAAAATACATGTACATTTATATGAGGAGTTTCGCCATTCTAATTAGGAGAATACTGTTCAGGTAAATAGAAATTATAGATTGTAGCAAGAGTCAGAGTATCCCTCTACTGCTGTAATTTGTAGGTTCCACAATGAGGATACTTGTAGGTTCCACAATGAGGATACATGTACTGCTGTACTCTGGTATTGTACACGTACTGCGAGACCATGCAAGTACGTGTACTCCACGTCCCAAGGCGCTAACAATGTTATGTTATTGTTTCAACGTATGGATCCTCTTCGCTCAGTAGAGACGATCACGAGTACTCGAGTCGAGCGAGCTGTACTTCCAGTGCCACGAGGCGGGCTCACCCCCCCCCCCCCACCCCTGTATGGCAGCTGCCCCATGTCTCACCTCCAAGACGAAGTACAATAGCCAAAATTTGAAAACATGCAATTGTTACTGACCGACCCAACCTTGCCCTGCGGATCCAGCATCATCCAGGATCACATGGCTGGTTGGCACATGTCGCAAGATGTCCCCTTATTCTGTCCTGTACCTGGGAGTGCATAGTTTACGTCACAAGTGCCATGCAGTTCTGTCGCGCTGTAAATTTGTAATGCTCGCAACCCAGAGGTCTTCCTGAGCTCGTCCTCCTTCTCTGCATGGGTATCGAGTCAGACGACGAAGCTGTTCAACTTGAAACAGCCCTTCCTCAGTGATGACGTGAGATGGTTGACTTTTCCTCAATGCTAGCACATCACAGTGTACGGCCATACGCCTTTGTTACGTGTGTAGTTTAGTGTCAGGGAAGATCAGAACTAGAAGAGTACCAGTATGCTTCACTAGCTGGAGTAGTACAATGTCATATTGATAGCTCAATGTTGTGAAGCCTCCTAATCAGTGAAATCATTGTTATGACACCCTGGGTAATGAATAGGGGTGAAAGTTGGCACTGAGATCCCGAGTTCGAGTACTCTGATTTTCTCCGATCGAATATTCGAGTATTCGAGTATTTTTCATCTCCTAAAAATTGCACACCAAGGGCTTAAAAATAACATATACAACCCTGATTGAACCGAGTAGCAGTCATTTTTCTCGGGTATATTGGTTGGTTGGTCATTTGGGCTCTCTCTCTACTCGTGAACAAATGTTCACCACACAGCCTGCACATCACCATCTGCCGACTGCTGCCCTGAAACTGCAGATTTCTGTAGTAAATGCATGTACCATGTATGAACGAGGACTCTGATTTATTCCGAGTACGATTATTTTTGAAAAAACCGAGCGAGTACTCGAGTACTCGGTATAATTGTTATGACACCCTGGGTAATGAATGACTGGTAGAGACTGCGACAGTAACCTAAACTCCATTGTATCTATAATCAACTTAGGACCGTTGCGGGAGGCTGTTTATGCCCCTTGGATTAGGACCACATCGACGCGTCTAAACAAATTGCAACCATGAACCTTCCAAAGCGCAATCATGTACATGTACATGTAGTAGAGTAAGTTCATTCTCTAGTTGCTTTCACAAGTTTCAGAAGGCGGTTGCTGTAAGTGTAACACATGGACATGGGTATGCTTGGGTGAATGAAGGACAGGTGCAACTCTATCAATGCCATGGCAGTTCAAAGTAAGGTCCCACTTCAAGTTCAACTGCTGCCATGGCCTTCATCATTACCAGTGTATTAGCATGTACTCGTGCATGTGCATTGTGTGATCACGGTACTACTAGTATTGTATGTATTTCGAAGGCGAGAGGGGAGGGGGAGGGGGGGGGGGGATACATCGCAGCACATCAAATCACTAAAATTAGGAATAGGATGATAAGGAGTGATTCCAGCTGTCAAGAATGGTATCCTTGCCCGTACATGTAGTGCAGTAGTGGGCGACGGGTGACACAAGCACACTGCACTGCATGCTGGTAGGGGCGTGCTAGTGGTTGATCTACTATAGTACTAATGTACTTGGACTGGAAGTACTCGGTTGCCCAAGAAGACGAGCGTCGTCACTGGGCAAGGGCACCACATGCACCGCAGCTGTTCGATCCGGTATAGCTAATGTTCTATGCTAATTCAATGCATGGAAATACCTTGAGCACCATTATTCTGATCAGGAGGGGGAATTTACATGTACAATGTAGGTCCGGACATGAACGTACATGTGCCTGATGTGTGCTACATTTGAAGAAGTGGCATGCATGTACGTAACGATTGACACTGGTAGATTGAGTGCTGGACGTTAGGGTGTCATTTTGTACTGCTATATTTACGTGTATGGTAGCCATGGCACTGGAAGCCATTGTGGATTCGGGCTTGCTGAAAGCAACCAACAGAAAACAAAACAAGTTAGTTAGTTAGACCTTCACCTAGTGCCTGTGCATGTGCTTCAGCAGGGCCTACCACGTGACGTGGGGAGGGATGGCTACGGGTACGGGTGATCTCCCAGTGACCAGGATCAAGGCAAGTATTAGTTAGTTTGCAATCTTGACGGTGGCACCGACCACTACCACTGAGCGCCGCAGTTCAGCTATCTTCAACAGTGTTTGATATCAATATCCGGGGCAACCAGTCGCTCGCCCATGCTAGTGCACAGATGAGCACACGTTCTGACAAACTAACTTCACTAATAAGTTGTCACATCTTGTACATGTCTGAAGAGGGTGTTGAACGGTCTCTGCTGGGACTGATGACGACTACACCATAGCTCAGTGGTTAGAGCATCGCTGGCGAGGGTCCCTGGTTCGAGTCCTGGTGGTGACAGTCAATTTTTTCTTCAGACTTTTCCAGTTTGTGTCTTTCCCTCAAACCAGTGAACACAATCAGTCATACAAGTACTAAAATAAGAATTGTAATAGAATACTACTAAGTACTAGTACATGTACATCGTTATTATGATGATGATATATACATGTACCATCCATCCATACATGTCATGTCATGTGCTCTGTAGTCACCTGTGATGTTACATGCAAGCTAGTGAACATGTTGCGTTTAGCTTTAGAATCTGTGATGCAGGTGTTCAATATGATTATAATTAGAGTGCCTGTGCATAGTTACAGCAACCAGGGCAAAGGCCAAGGCCTTTTGGGCCGTGCCATAGCATGCAGTCATGTGCAGTCATGGACATGAAGATGGTGTCAACCATCGAGTGCCCTTTTGGAACATTCTGCCGGGTTCGCTGTGAATATGAAAGTCCATCACTTCATGTGAACATGATTTTCATGTAGACCTGAAATTAATGTTTGTACTGCACAGTATAGCTTCTAAACAGAGAATTATTATGTCGACTGTTGTCAGTGTTGATCTACATGACACACACACACAACATAGTCATGTAGATGATTATACACCTTACGCTATCGTCACCATGCACAGTTGCACACTCATGTCGTCATGGCACGTTGTTGTGTGCTTTTGTAGCTTTGATTCCAGCTAGTGAGAACAAAAAGCATTATATCGTATAGTATCCCATTCAAGATGGACATGAAATTCAATGTCAGAAGAAGCCTCCTCCCCCCCCCCCCCCCGAGTCGCTCCTTGCGTTCACCCGGATACTAGACCCTATTGTCTGAAGACAATGAAATACAATGTATCTTACCCTTGCTAGTGTGTCCCTGTGTCCTCCCTCCCCCCCCCCCCCACCCCCACCCCCACCCATCCATCACCCACCCAGGCTGCCACCTCGTTCTCCATTGACAATTTCGGCTTTAGGGGACCGGATTTCCAGATAAAGAAACACTGATCGATTTCCATAGAAAATCCTCTCACTTTGACGGGAGCAATTTTGAGCCTAATTGGACCCAAGCCTAGTGATATGAATCCATTGTACAATGTACTTTCGATCAGGTACCTGCACTAACTAGTGTAGTGGGACCGAAGCTAAGGTGCACGGGTATGCATTTTTTGTTTACTTCAGCCTGGACTGGAGCCTAGGTAACAATAACATAACCTGCGCGAGTCGTACAATAGTCATGTACATGAAAGTAAGTGGTTGGATGCATGCAGCGGAGAGTAGTGGTAGAGTGCCTCCCGGGGGATCCCCTTGATAGCAGAGGCCGAGTGCTAGTACTCGACATGCACATGAACCAGCAACCGACGACGTGAGAATGGCCAATGATGTTTTTCTTTTTTGATCTTCGACCATGTACCAGTAGGACTAT